TGGGGTGCCAAGTCCTCGGGGCGCAACACCATGGTCCTCAACGGTCCAGAGTGAATGCATCCACCGAGTCATCTAGCAGAGCGGCATCGAAACGGCGTGTTTTCCGAATTGATGACGATGTTTGCATGTTTATCTTTGTCCATTGTATACCAACTTTGACCGCTACAATATCTGGTTTGCCGTATTTCAGCAAACCCGAACGACCCCAAACCACCAAGTTCTTAGTCCGATCCGTGCTCCTCGAGAGTTTGGACGTCCGACGCCTAGGCCGATTTTGTAGCACCGTAGGATACCTAAGGGAGTGCATTAACTGTGCCTATCCGTTTCTCCGGGCCAACGCTCTGTGTAGCGGTGGCTACATATCGAGGGGTGAACCGGAATATAAGGCTGCCTTATCTATAGCGGTCTGATGTTCATGTTGTCGAACACGCGACTTGGGATGCAAGCAGGACAAAACTGAAAAAAGGTCCTAAAACCATCTTCAGTGGCGGATAGATGACAAACCATGGAGCTTTCACCCCTCACGTTCCGTCCCAGGAGTTTTGTTCTCGAGACGATTGGAGAGGCCATCTGATGGTAACGGGCAGTGAGTGTCAAGTCGGCATTGATGCGACAGTAAAAATCAAAGGCGACAGAGGATAACCAGTATAGTATCAGATAGGCAAGGCGACTGGCGGTGTGACGCATGATCTAGCAAGTGGTCATTGTGTTGAACTACTGACGATGGCTTTCATCGGACCCGGGTGGTTGCGCAAGCTCTTCAGGCGGAGTTCCCCGAGGCGGGGAAGATTGTAGGCACTTATTGTTCCATGTGATGCGCGTTCTTCTTGATCTTCCCTCACATATGGGAGCCGACATGGACAACTCGATTTCTGACCGTTAGAAATAATATTTGATGTCGGCTGTGGGTAGGCGCATAACCAGCATCCTCAAGAAGTGCATCTTTGCAGACGTGGCAAGTAGCCTCGCCATGGACCTGACGATGTCGGGCAGCCAACGAAGCATCTGCATGACGGGATCAACCCAGGATGCTCGGACTAACAGCAATACCAGGCGGCCAGGCTTAAGGGATGTTGGTGGGAGTGGCTGGCGAAGATCACCCGACGGGAGCGATCTCATTACGCATTGATTGAGAGGGTGTACGTGCGTGGTGGGGCGTCGAGACGGGCGAAGACGGGACGCACCGTTTCGCGAGTCAAAAGAGAGGGTGAAGTGTGTCTGTGGTTGAAGTCGTTTTGGACAGACCGCGTGATGCCAGTTATGGCGTAGCGGCAGGGCTAAGGGCGACGGCGCCATAGGTGGCTTGCCCGCTCTGACCATGATCGTCGACCTGAGTGAGCAACAGGTACTATCAACTCAGCCATGCGTATAGAGGCGGTCGGGGCTACAGGAGATGGAGGCTTGGATCAAGAGCGGTCTGGCATGATGAGACAGTCCCGAGGGCGTCTCACTCTAACCTGGGCCTTGACATAACAAGCGGCAATTCAAAAGGGCCATGCAACTGGACTTTTGGCAGGCTACTTAAGTGTATCTCCTGTTGCTCGTTAGAGCGTGCAAGGTACCGATGACGCGTCGGAAGAGCACAAACCCGGGCTGCGCGTTGTGACTGGGGTGACTTACCATGTACAATAAGGGCTCCAAAAAGCGGCGATCTGGCCGAGAGAGGGAAGTGCGTGGAGGCCATGAAGGCGCGTGCGCTCAATGAATGGCGGAAAGGAGAATTGCGGCTGCGAGACCGAGACAGGGCTACAAGGCAGACAAAAGGCACAGGCGAATGAGGCGGCCCAGACCGGTCGAAAGGCGTCTGGGGTTGATTGGTGCCCCCCAAGAAATTGAAGCCATCGTGGGATTTCGCAGGCGGACAAGGCGGGGTAAGAGAAGGCGAGGACTTGGCTGGCGGCAAAGGGAACGAGTAGAATGTCCCGTGGGAGGGATCGACGTCCAAACGAGCACCATGCCCTTGCCGCTCATTGTGCCGTGTGTTGTGTTTTGTGGTGTTGCTAGCTGCGCCGGCTTTTCAAATTCCGCTACTGTTCCGCATATACTCAGCCGACGACATGGATCTTCCGTGATGGAACTCGACAGGTCGACGGTGACGAGAGGACGCCATGATCGATTCCGGACTAGTGTAGAGAATGAGAGAGTTGACTTGCGAAGACGAATTGTTCTGAGGGAAACTTGATGTTGAGCAATGTCTCTTGCCCCCTCAATTAGTGCATTCAACCTCCTCCCTGGGTAGGTACCTGAGGTGTTTCGGAACCAAAGGCAAGGCCCCCGCAGGCGACTTGGGCAAGAGGCAGGAAAAGACGTCCCTCCCTCCCTCCACCTTGCTCAGAGCCCGCACAGGCCATATGAGACACTGCACAGTCACTACCTGCCAGGGTCCTTACAGTGCTCACTTGGCCCCCGCTTCTACTCGAGAGGCAACTCAACCATGATCACCCCTGTTGCATTGGCCTTGGGATTTGACAGGACTACTCTCAGCTGCCGACCCAAGCCAAGGACGTGGGAATAGCATTGATTCGGACGCTCGAAAAGCCGCCGAACGTGCTTGCGATGGCGCTTGAGTTTGCGACAATGTTCTCACCACCACAGGCATGCGTCGTTGATGCGACGGTCGCTGGTCGATTGACGATTGCCGATCATCATCAGCCTCTGAGGGACATGAGAGACAAGTCTCGAAACCCGCATTCCTTTTTCAACGGGAACACTGCGCGACCCCCCAAATTTGTCGGCTGTCGGGGTGCATAGTGCTCTACGAGCAGCCTCACGGGTTCTGTCATCGTCATCCAACCACGAGGACAGCGGAAACTTGCCTTCGTGCAGCCCAGCGGGAGATGTTGGGCCAGAAACAACGTACCGAATCCCGACACAGGTGTCCCCCCACACTCTGCTCCGCATCTCAAACACTACCATGCACGACCAGGGCTCGGCGCCACAGCGAGCGGAGTATTGCGGTCATCAGGAGGACGAAAGAGAGGGAGGGAGGGCGGATCCCAGCAACCAACCTACGTTGCCTGTCTTTGGACCCTCCCCATCTGCACCAGCCCGGGCACTGCCTGACTGTGACGAAGCCTACCGGCCGTTGATGACGACCGCAGCAGCAGCAGCAGCAATAACGGGTTCAAGACATCGTCCCAGCCCAGAGCGACGCACTTGTCGCCGAGGGAGTTGGCCACCAATACAATTGAATGGGAACGAAAGTGGACCGTGCATCAGCCCCCAAAGTCCAGAGCAGAGCGAGCATGTACCATGTAGCCCACCTACCTGATGATGGAGTGAAGACCTATGTCAGGGAAATGGGAAATTCTACGGCCAGCAAATGAGCAAAGGTCTTGGCGCCGTGGGGTTTTGATGGCTCGGAAGTACCCAGTCACCTTGGTTGTGCCATCCACCCTGTCCTTACAGCTCATCACCCGAGAGGGGTCAGGGGGTAACGGCCCAAAGGTATGAGTGAGCGGGGGTCCAGGTCAATGTCAAGGTCAAGGTCAAGGCCGGAAATCAGGCCAAGGCCAAGCCTAGCTGGTTTCCTAGTCAAGGAGCCTCCAGGTGATCTTCAGACGTTGGCTTGGCTGCTCATCGCCGTCGCCAAAGATGCCACACCCGGGCACCGACCTGCACACCGCATCGAAACACCACCGACGAGCACGACGACTGTGTCCGAATCTGGCTGCCAACCAGCCTTCCTCTTACCAAACACATACCGAGCCAGCTGCGTGGGAGGGTTGGGGCCCCCTTCCCTCAAAGGAGCCAGTCAACGCCCACGAAAAAATTGCTTTACTACCCAGCTCGATGTCCTCTTATCAGAAACCTTGTCGTCAAGTGCAGCGAGGCACTCGGCCGACAGCAAACAACCTTCATTGACCTTCCGAGGCCACCACCGGGCGCCTCGTCAGTCACTCACTCGAGGACCACACACTTGCTCATAGCAGATCACCTTGGGTATGGCCGATCCTTGCCATGCTTCACGGCTTTGACGGCAGATGTGGACGCCGAGGAAATCACTTGGCTGCTGGTACGACGTGAGTGGTCATCCCACGATGTCTTCACCCACTCGGCCGACGAGTCGCGCGTCGTGGAGCTAGGGAGGTCGCCCACACGGTCGATCTTGGAGCTCATCGCCTCCAAGTGGTTACGAGTGGAGTGAAAATGCGAGACTCCGCTGACGGCTCTCACGACTAATGAATGCCCGAATCGAACGCTCGGCCGCAGGACACTGTAAGGCGACGCCAGGCGAAGGAGCGTAACGCACGATAGTGGCTGTCGCTCGTTGACGAGCATGCATCGTGTTCAGTTCATCCAACCATCCCTGACGCCTTCTCGCTCAAATACCAGCGCCTAGTCAACTAGTATGCTAGCGCACATGTACCTGTGCCCGCAATGCACAGTCAATCCTGGCAGACCTTACTAACTATCGGCGCCTTTTGGCTTCGCAAAACAAGAAGGACCCTGGTCCCCGAACACGGTACCATCCATCTGCAAGCGCAGATGTGTTGACGCATCCCGCTCTTCGACCCCTGCTGACCCCATGTCTCTCTACACGTACAGCAGGTAGGGTAACAGTACTTACAATCCACTCCACCACCCTTCCCGCAGCCTCTCCTGTAGTCCTCGTTCCCCAATAAGACTACCCATGGCCTCAGCTCCTGCCTTCTGCCCCTCCATCTTTCGCTCCTCACCTTGCAGCGATTAACCGTACTTCCATCTCAGCGGGCCGCTGCGGGCTCGATCGCCAAATACATACCATTTGCCGCCTGTTTCCCCGTCTATCTCTTGCCCGCAACAATCGAGACTCGGCTAGTCAACAGTCTCCTTGTGCGACCCTTCGTCACTACCGCAATATTGCCTGCAACCTTGCCCCTCGTATTCGTGCCGCCAATTCCCGGACTTGATTTCGGACCGCCTTGTCGAAACGAACTCTGTATATCGAAGTCGAGCAGCGGGTCATATTATCCACCCCTCCCGCGCTTTTCGTGGCATGGTCCCGCTACTGACGAGCAATGGACTCTGCATCGGTACCCGTGCAGTCAGATGAAGGCGATGCCTCCTGGTCTGACAATCATAGCATGTATTCGATCGAGAGCATGCATGACGACGCCTGCCAGCCGCAGTCGCCTGCCTCTGACTCCGCTCAGTGGAATCTTGTCGAGTCGAGCTTGCCTACCGGTCACCTCTCACCCATCAGCACCGGCATGGATTCTTCTTCCAACTCAGGTCCCTCTACTCACGACACCTCACTTGCCATGCCCAAGCTGGAACCTTTGGATGAGGACTTTTGCCTCGACAATGTCACTGAAGCCCCGGCAGCGGACCTGGACCACGGCAACGCTTCCTCTACGAACCCCAAGCTGAAGCGACCTAGAGGCCGGCCACGCAAACACCCACTCAACTCAGCCATTAACGCAGGCAAGGTCACGAAAGGCCGCTCGAAGACCGGTTGCATCACTTGCCGAAAGCGAAAGAAGAAATGCGATGAAGCGAAACCCCGATGTGAGACTTTGCTTCGGGGAATATACTGGAGCTTGGCCCTTGCTAACTTCAATAGGTATGAACTGCGAGAAGAACGCTGTCGTTTGCGAAGGCTACCACGAGAAGAAACTGTGGCGAAGTGGCAAGGACAAGGCATCTGACGGTAAGTTCAAGCCGGAAGACTTGCGTGACACTGCATATACTTATTTCCAGCCTTAGACCATACTGAGGCGTCTGAAGATGCGGTAGTGTTCCACATGCAACCTCTTTTCCACGGCGTTGTCACTGTAGAGGACAGACTGTTTTGGAAGCATTACTATATGAGCCTGAGCAATGTTCTCACGGTTGAGGGCGAGGCCAAAAATGCATTCAAGGACATTATCCTACCCTTAGCCAACAAACATCAGGGCGTCATGCACTCTGTCCTCGCTATGAGCAGTAAGCATATCGACTACGACACACCATACGGTGCCAAACTACTTCAGCAGAATCCCGGGATCTCACGCGCTGCCTTGCAGAGCCGAGCAGACTATCACCACCAGGCCGCTATGGACTCGTTTTACGCAGACATACAACGCAGCGCCGATGAAGGCGAGATAGATCAAAAAACCATACTCTCAGCTCGCTACGCTCAAATACTCTGCCTACTCATCGGTACGCTCATCGAAGGCAATCCGCATGGAGAACACAGAGTTCACCTACGCGGCTATCAACTTCTCATTCAGCAGAACCCACCAGAGGATCCAACATATCTCGCGTTCATAACTGAGTTCTTCCAGTACCACATCTACGCCGACGAACTCGTTAGGCATCCAGGCATGAACGGACCACGACTTACGTGCCAGGATTGGACCCCGCTGGCTTCTCCTGAGGCCCCCCGCCTCCTTGGTGTTTCTGATGGGCTCTTTCAACACCTACCTCAGGTTGCTGCAATCAAGGACACCATCCGGCAAAACATTTACAACGGTGCTGAAACTCGGGTGGACTACCATCTCCTGTGGCGTGCACAAGAGATTCAAGAGGCCATCGAGCAGTGGTCGCCAACATGGCCTGCAGGTGATAGCCGGCATAGAGTCGGGCTTGTGTACAAACACATGATGTTTCTGCACTTGTTCAGAACCATCTATCCACCTACAACTTCGCAGCAAGTTAGCATGCCACCACTAGCGCCTCCTGCCGCTCCGGTGTCGCCTGCCGCATCTCGTCGTCCGTCACAAGTGTCACGACCTTTGACTGCCTCGAGCTGCTCCTCGTCGCCTGGACTCGGACCGACGACGGCATCCGTGGCTTCCATGACCTTTCAACAGCGTAGTCCGCCCGGATCCCGCAATCCCTCCAGGACAAGCTCCATGCATGAGCTCGATTCCTCGGCCGCCTCCGGTTTGTCGGCGTCCAAACAGCGACACCTATCGCCACCCCCCGTCAGGCGTTCACCGCATCATGATCGACGTATCACCGCCGCAGTTGACGAGTCCCTCACAATGATGGAGGGTTTCAAGCCTTTTGACCCGGCGTTGACATTGCTCTTGGTGCCTTGCCAGATTATAGGTGCTGCCTGCTTTGATCACCCACAACAGGAGCGCGTTCGTGGTATCATTCGACAGGTCCGAGGCTACACGGGCTTACGCAATTGTGACCGGACCAGCGAAGTTCTAGAAGAGGTCTGGCGGCTCATGGACGAGGGTGACTGGCTGTCCGCTTGGGATTGGCAAGGCGTTGCGCTGAAGATCGGCGCCGACTTCCTATGCACATGATTGTCATGATCAGTTGCTGGCATGTCGAACCAAGCGCAATCATCGTTACTGCGAGTCTCCGAGGTCCTTGCAATGTCGACGAGGGTCGTCAAATTTGATTTTCGGAGCGATTTCATTTCTCTCTTGTTCTTTTCCCTCCTTACTTCTGGGTGGCTTTTTGAAATTTGCTCTGATACCTGCTTCATGTTTCAAAGCACTGTTGTCGGCTGGTTAGTAAGCAAGTAGGAACCCGACGGGCATATCATATTGAGGCGGAGTTGGTTAACTGGATAGGAGGCGGTATCGTCTATTTTTGGCACGGGATATCTAAGCTCTCATGAAGAGCAAGCTGCTACGGCGTATCCGACCCGCCCGGAACAATTCGGGTATCAGGATTCAAGGTGGATGGATATTGTGATAGGACTGCGCGGCTGCTGTGCGTGTCATAGTTTGCGAGCGCCCAAGTCTAGCACTCCTTTTCTGAGGAGAGCAATAAAGCTTTCGGGCCCTTGGAAAGGGTAAAGAATCGCGTCATTGATGGATCTAATGCTCGTCGAATTGTATTATTCGGGTCCTTTTTCAGTCTTTGAAAGACTTGGCCTGGGTTGTGGTCCCTCGTTCGCTCAGATAAGTCTGTAGGCGGGTCCTTGAGAGCAAACATCCAAACCTGCACCTATGTCCCATGACTGATGAAGATGTGGAGGTTTCCGGCAGGCTGAGTCTGCCATTATGTGGTATTTAGTGTGCCGAGCCAATCGGCATTCATAAAGCGCCTTTAAGACTCCGGTATATTGGACAAGTGTTGGGTTTCTGATTGACAAAGCGCCGATCTGGCGTCCATTCTGATCCACTTCAAGGCAACCTCCAAGATGTTTCATTCCCAAATCGACCTGCCCACGTCAGATAGAAGGGGAGCGGGCGGCTGGATAAGCTGGGTAGTTTTCTTCTTGTTTTCTTTCACTACGCCATTGTGCGCATACACTCATAGGATCGGGACGCTGAAGAGCGGTTCAATGTACATGTATGCTGCGTGCCGTTTACCCACTCTTGTGCGCATGTGACAAGTGAGGAAGCTGCAGGTCTGCGTGCATGCCAGGCTTGGCAGGTGGATGGATGGGCGGCGGGGTAGAAGAGACATCGTCGATCCAGTTCTGACGGACTTGGCATGTGCACCTTTTGGGCGGAGTGAAAAGACTTGTCTTGAGACTGGGGACTTGACATCGGTGGAGAGTACGTATAGCATCAAGAGATGCTGTCGAGTGATATCGAGCATTGCTATTATTGGCTGACAAAGAAAAACATGTCGTGCTCGAAATTACATAGCCTGGCCAGTACAGGGCGACCCGCGACCGGCTCTTGTATTTAGACAGTTGATCTTACATTATGCGTGGTAGACAGCAAGGAAAGGAGTAAAAGAAACACATGAACCCTTAGGCTGCCGGGGTTCGAATACCGACAGCGACCAGATCATCCCGGATACATGCCGCGATCCTCACCTGGGACCACCTTGACGGTAAATCCGTTGCTCCCCTGTTTGGCGATCTCGTAATGTCCTCCTAGTACCAAATCTTTGGCGACCAATTCGCGCTGGCGGCCAAGACTCTCAATGTCGGCGATGCGGAGTGTCGTGGCTTCTAGGTGCTCGTTAAAGCCAGGTTCAGAACAGATCTGCCGGAAGGCATGGTGCATGGGTACCGACGATGCTCGAACATCGGCCTCGGACGTGATGGAGAAGAGGTTCAGTCGGTCCATTTGCCGGATAAAGTCAGCGCGTGTCATGCGCTGTTGTGCGATATGCAGAGGAAACGAGGGAAGGATGTGACCGATCTTTGCATCATATGTAGCGTCCATGTTGGGTTCCTCGTGCACAAGAGCTTGCGCGAGCACCATTGCTGCGCTCTAAACGTGAAGGTGGTCAGCGGTGCTCACAAGAAAGAACGAGGTAAAGCCTGGGGATCATGACTTACAGCCCACTTCTGCTGATCCATGACATCGTCGTCCATTTCAGCTCCAAGAATCCAGCATTGATTCAGGAACCACCGCCTCTCGTTATCACAGATGCGCTTGCACATGGCCAGCATGTCGCGGCTTTTTGCAACGCGGTTCAGAAACGAGAGACGCCCACCAACGAGGTCGTACACCTCTTCCAGCTCGCGAGCCGACACTTGTTGCCCAAAGTAGCGGACTCGATACTTCTGCAGCGCAATCGAAGCTTGCGCCTTGGGAAGGTCAAGTACAGGGATGACCTCCATTCGCGTGGCCAGTTGCTTCAGCCTTTCATACACCCAAAAGTCGTCGCTGTTGAAGACCATGGTTACAAGGTTGGCTGCCGCCCATTGCTCCGCTCGCTGCTGAAGTAGTTCAATGAGATCCTTGCCGTCATCGTCGTCACGGATCAAGTGCATCTGGTTGATGATGAGCACCAGCGGCTTCTTGCGCTCAGCTCGCTTAAGGAGTGCCACCTTCTCAAGCTTGTTGAGGGCGCGCTCGATGTCCAGGAGTGCTGTGGTGTCGCGGGGGCCACGCTCACTGAAGTAACCGCCGATGTAGTCTTCGTGGAACTCAAAGTCAAGGGCCTTGCCAAGACGGATACGAACGATTTCCAGGTCGGCGTGGGCCTCGAACATGGCGACGCCGTCGCCATCAATCTTGCGCATGGCCTCGATCAGCATGCTGCTCTTCCCAGTGCCCTTGTCGCCAATAAGAAGATGATAATGTCCAACTTCTTCGCCCTGGACGATCTGGTCGACACGAAGCTGCTCAGGCCGATTGACCCAGCGGTCATCCATATCGGCTGGTGTCATGGGCACCTCTTTGCCGATGGCCGCGAGATCGAGAACAGGGTCGCCTGGCTCAAAGGCATTGGCCATCTTGTTGAGAACGATGCGTTTGTAGGACTTGTGATAGGCATAGCCAGCGATGCCAAATCCTGCGGCAAGGACAAGTATGGACGCGAACGACGTAGCAGCCGACTCAAGCATCTTCTGGGGAAGTGAGAGCTCTCCATTGCCATTCTGACTGTTCTGAGGAGACGCTGCAGATGATGGCTTGGCGTCGGATTCCCTGGAATTGGGCGGTTGGGCTGGAGTAAGTTAGCGCACAGTAAAAGACTGAGCCTGAACATAGATCCGAGTTCCTCACGCGACCATCGTCGAGGGTGTGAGATGGCTCGTCACTGCCAAGGGAGGATGATTGACAACCACTTGGCGCTGCAGCATATGTGTGGCGGCACTTTCTTGGCTCGGGCGTCCCAAGGTCATCATGCCGAGGACCTGCAACATCACTCATTCAGTGTGGGATGTCGGCCTGGGTGCTTACCATTCGCTTTGGATGACTGCGTGGAGAAGAATGAGCATTTCGGCCCCCAATTGCCGCCGGCCCACGTCACGGTCGTGGGCTGCTGTGCTCGCAGCAAGGGTCGAAGCGTAAGCCGGAACCCCTGCCTCACCGACGCCATGCCGCCCTCGCCGAACCCTGGAAGAAGACCACTCACGGCGGCCTTTTGGCGCTGTACGAATTGAGGGGCGGCGATTTACCAACAGCGAACCGAGTGAAAATGTGCGAGAGAAGATGACTCCCAAGACAGAAAACCCGCAAACCAGTGCGATGGGCGGATGGACGTTGTTTTGGCCAAGTCAAGAAAGCCACTGGGGCAGTGCCAAGGAAGAAGGGACCTTCCTCAGCTTGTCGCTCTCTTCTTTCAGCTTGCTTGGGGTAGCTTCCAGGGGGGGTGAGTGGATAGTACCAGCCACGCTCATTTCCCAAGAATGCATGGGCCCTTGTGGCTCACCACCCCTTTTTAGACGACACTCCGTGTCTGGCAGGCATGGTCCCATTTCCGTATCGACTGATCTCTCCTCGTGTCAACTCCAAAAAGCAGCGACTTCATGTGTAGAAGACTCTGAGACGCGAAAATCCTGCCAATAGTGCCATAGACTGTCGTATATTTATACACAGGTCACCATAGGCCGCACATTTGCATCACGAATCTGTCGTGAAGCACACGCCATTCCTCAAGTTACCTACCTCTGTACCTGCTCCTCTTCGGCTGATGTGAACTTAGATGCCGGAATCGTCAATCTCCTTGCTTATGGTCGGTGCCTGAGCATCTGATTAGGGCTTTCCGTGATATAGGAATCTCGTGTCGATGTCAGGGTCCCTCGTCATGTGTCAAGACTCATACGTCTATGGCTGTCGGCGGCCCTTCACGTACGTCTCGCTGGCACCGCCATGCTGGCTCATCCAGCCGAAATATTCGTACCAACCCGATACAAGCATCATCACATACACAGTCTTGCCTCACATGTTCAACCAACTCAGTCATGTACTAACAAGAACACTGGAGGCCCGTGCTCTCAATACAGCTGGGCGACTTTCTCATTCACGTTCTGTCTCTTGCCCTAGTTGCCCTTTCCTTTGGCAGTAGTAACCTTGACGAATGCATGATGTTCTGGGCTTCATTCCTTCATTCCCTTATGAAACCTGCGGTCGCCTTCGTTCTGTTCAAATCTGCTCAACGCTTTACTTCCTCGCCTTGACTGATCACCGCGACCTTCAACGCAAGCTTCGCTCCCATGCCCCATCAACTGCAGAGAGTTGCATGGCAGAGGAACGACTGGTGACTAATGACTGGCTCTTCACCGGCCTCTGAAAGCTTCCCAAGACAAAGCTGCCACTGAGGCCTCAAAGAGACATATATTGAACACGGACACGGTCTAAAGAGCGGCCCTTGGATACAGAACTGTGCAGCGTCAATTGTATGTTAACCCAAATGTCGCTTCCGTGCTATGAAGACTTCAGTGGACTAACAGTTGACGGGAGACCAGCCTCCCGTGCGATTTGGAGAGGTCCCATGGAGTTTTCTCCAGACCAGAAACGCCATGAGCTTCCAGAACTGGATTTTGGTCCCGTGTTGGCTTTGCAGTCATCCCTCGAAGGGATCGGCACAGAGACCGGCAACATTGGATTCGCACGGAAGCCAAAACCGCTGGTGTATAGAGCCTGTCCGAAAGGGATTGCCTCGGAGGTACGATCGCCGTTTCCAGCAAGAGAGTTACCACCCAGCCCTTCGTCCACACGTCCGGCCAAGGGACAACTCAACATACCAATACTCCGAGGGTTTCCTGGCAGAGAGATTCTCGGCGCTGTGACAGATGAAGGCCAATGGGCCGCCGACTTTGAAAAATCAAAGTCCCCTGGTTTGCCTTACGGTCCGGGTCTGTCAGAGACGATCTTCCATCAGCATCCTCTGGCGAAGGAGATGGGCTTATCCATTGAACACCAAGCACTTCTGGGGTTGATTATCCCAGAGGAAAAGACGACTAGGAACAGGACTGATGACTATGAGACTGATGAAGAAAACTCGGAACACGAAAGACAGGCCTTGGACCAGATTCAAGGAACAGTATCGGCTATCGCCATCCGTTCTCTTGGGAAGAAAGTCAAGTCTTTGACCAAGATGAGAAGCGCCTCCAAGTTACCGCACAGCAGTAGCATGGCAACCATGGCTGAGCTGCTGATAGACTTTCCACCGCCTCCTCCTATACCGAGCGATCAACATGCCGGCTTCCTTCGTGCGGCCAAGTCAGCATCCTCGCTACAATCAAAACAGGCAGCCCCGAGTGCTACAACCTTAAGATCCAAGCGTAGCACAGGCATAGACAAATCTCTCATCTCGCAACCAATACAGCCCCGCGAAGAACCCAGGTTGACCAGGTCTGAGACTACCCTGACAGGATTTCAAAAATCATCGTCGTCACTCAGTCTGCCCCCTGTAAATCTGCTCACGGCAGCCTCAGCAGACTTGGGAGCGCTTTCGAGACAACATCTATCATCGCCTATCATGCCACAAGCTCTTGGCTTGAAAGAGTTTAGGGCCGTGAAAGAAGTGACTTATCGCTTGGCACGACCGCGCCTGTCGCCGATGGAGTATGCACGCAGGTTCCTCATTGAGCAGGCAAAGGCTGCCCGTGAAGGGCGAGATTGCAATATCGTACGACCGGAACTCACCAGTTTCTTCACAAAGAACCACGAAAGATTCATTCTTATTCCAAAGATCCCTGCTTCTGCGATGTACCTCACTCCTCAGACCCCTTTCCCTCAAAGCTCCATTCAAAAACCCAAACTCAATCTCAGGCCTCTTGCCAAGCCTGTGGTGAAGGGCCCGAGGACCCGCGCCCGCAATCCGGGCCGCTCGAAACTCAACATAATCACGTCAGCGGTTTCCGACGACGAACCAGAGAAGGAAGAAACCGAAGACGCCTACGAAATATCTGTCAATCCCAGCAAACCAGACGGGAGGCCTCAGGAAGAGCTGTGCACAACCCAAATCCTAACACCTGAGAAGCACAGTTCTCTCACCGACTCACTACTCCGGACACTGCGACCGACTAGCCCTAATTTATCTGCTGGTCACCATCTATCAGATCAAACCCACTTTGTTGACATCACGGCAGTACCAGCGCCACTTAGGTTACTAGGACCGAAGCGCATCAATCCGTTGCCGAGGGACATTCAAGCGCTCTCCCCAGCCATACGCGAAGACGTATCCAGAGACTCCGATGCTGTTTCGACGGGTTCTAACGACAGTGCTGTGACAATACTGCGCAACGGAAAGCCGATTTGTCTCAGAAACGCTGCGTTTCCAGTTGAACAACCAAAGGAAAGAGGAACTACCCTCACCGGCACCATGGCAGAACCCGAAGGAAAGGGTTGCAGCGACGGCCACCAGACCAAGGAGGGCAATAGCGAAAACACTGACTTCCCTGAGGAGGCCGTCAGACAACTCGCGCCGGACGCTAGCCCTATAACCCCAGCAGTATCCTCGGATATGGATCAGCCGCCTAGTCTGATCATTCCACCCGCCCTACACCAATATTTTGATGAACTTACTAAAAAGCACGAGTCTTCAAAAGACAAGGCTCAATCCCCTACACCATCCGCCAAGTCTAGGGACATTACTTCTGTGGAGGATAGCACAGTGGAAAAAGACGTACTCATCTCAGATGAAGGCAAGACCGCGTCAGCTGCAACAGACATTCAGTCACACAGCGATCAAGTCAAGCCTTCAGCCGGTGCCTCGTCCAGCACATCGAATCATGGTGCGAAACCCCGCAAATCTCAACCCACTCGTCCTGTGCGTTTCCCCAAGATAAACGTGGCGGATTGGGGACCTCCGCCAACACCCCCTCCGAACAAGCCATTGCCGCCCCTGCCAAGCCGACCACCAAACCGCCGCTTCATGGCCTCTCCTTCGACTCCTTTACCAACTTTCCCACACATAGGAAGGCCAATGGCAGCTGTAGCACAAGCCTCATCCGTATCTCCAGTCATACCAGAACAGGCACTCGTCAAGTCGCTGTCCGAGGCACCCCTCCGACAGCCCTCGCCTCGCAACCAGACTCAAATTACGGACTTCTTCCAGAGTGCAGGAGAGGTGAGAGGAAAGAGACACAGAGTTGATGCCAGGGTCATCAACAGGACAGAATTTCAAGGTCCCAGTCCATCATCCATAGTGCAAGACCTGCAGAGGAGGAACAACAAGCTGGAGGATGCTGCCAGGGCCCAGGTCAAGGAACTAACTGGCGGCGGACAAACTATCCAAAGTCTCGCAACCCCAGTTCAGGTTCAGACCAACAAAAGTTCCGAAGACGAAGACGAGGAGGAAGAGGACTCTATCATGGTTGTTCGTGTTGAGGACTTTACATACCGACCTTCAACTATTAATCCAGCCAAGACACAACCGCCAATTTCGACCCTCGGGGGAGGCATATACAGTAACCCACAGCCATTCAGAAACATGGCAATGGTCAATGCTTATTCAGCGTACGATCAAAAGCCCCAAAATGGTCATCAAGAGATCACGCCAAAGTCGCGAATCCCGATCAGAGTGACACCAACGCCGTCATTTGGGCCACCAGAAGCGAAATGCAGTCTGCCAGGTCTTGTTGAGAAGCAGAGTATCAGCCAGATGCGTAACGTATTGCCTGCGCCTTCGCTGTACCAAACATCAAATTCACAGAATATTGCGCCTGAGTTAGCAGAGATTCCAAGATTCCTAGCAGAATCGACTGGTCACATCATGCCAGGCAACCCCTCAATCTCCTCTGAGAAGACTCAGAAGGCCACAGGCCGTTCAGGTTTCGTTGCCAAAGAGCCTACCGATTTCCCAGCCTAGAAATCTGGGCGTCGCGCAGACCCATTCGCAACATTTGACGCAACCCCTCCCCATCTTCAAGGCAAAACGACTCACAGTGTTGCAGAAACGGCGCCGAAGATTCCTCTCCGTGGGCAGTCGGCAGCAGCTCTTCAGGGGATAGCTCACCAGGACAGCCATGGAGAGAAGCCATCTGAGCAGAGCCCTGCCCTTCGTTCCGTCAAATCTCACGGCCCCTTGGCTTTGAACTCTCTACCGAAGCCAGAGGTTTCTAACGAACCGGCGGTTGGAAGCGCGCAGCTGAACACCGAGGATAAACGATCAGCACAAGTACTGGGTGCTAACAAATCTCGCACTTCGGAGAAAACTAAGGCTGCTACCTCCAAAACTACTGGGGAGGATGAATACGTTGTGGCGAAAAAGCAAGTCAAAATGCGCCTTCTCGAGATGAAGTCTCTTGCAGACTTCCGAAGTCGACGAACAGGCGAGGGCGGAGCAACTGCCTCCAGCTCCGAGAATGCTGCTCAGGACCATGCGAGAAGCTCCTCGGGACGCAACAGGATCGCCAGCGCTGAGGCTTCTGTGCGTAGAAACGAGGACTCTGTAGGGAGTTCCTCGGAGGAGGCCCAAACCCGGACTCACGCTCGATCAAGACGGTTTTTCGGCATGTTCAGGAAGGACAAGCGGAGCGATGAGAAGTGATTGCTGGCAAAACGATGCGGTTGCATCGAGGTGTCCGCATGCACACCATTTGCAGAGTGAGACTGATTTCGAGGCTTGCTGGGAGTGACGTGAGCGCATGGATGATGATGCAAGCAGCTACCTAGCCACCTAGGTCTCGTGGCATGGAATGCTTTTGATTGCGACCGCCTGGGTATCTGATTTGTCTTGTTAGAGTCAAGTAGGATAAATTCATCATTCGCATTGCAATTCAGTCGTTTCTAGGTTACTACGTGTTGTTATGGGCTAGTTTATCTGCTCACTGATGAATTGGTGGATGGTGATAAACGACTGGGGCTTCGGCATTAAAAAGGCGAAATGTTTTAGAAACGACACCAGATAAAGGGCGGGAGCTTAGGAACAGATGTTTACAGGAGGGGCATTCAACTTCATGCTCTTTTCCTTGCTTGGTATTTCCCTTTGGTGTTTGGGCAAGCACGTCACAACAATAGTCAGGGGACAGGCGCCGTGAGCGGCGAGGAAGGACAAAAGGGAAGTAGAGCCTCCGGATGCGGTCCAAGCTTGAAGCTCTTCCATGTATACTCTTTTAGTGCTCCTTCCCGCTCCCATCAACCACGACGACAGGGGAAGGGGTTACTTGGGTCTCAGTACCCCACAGGAGCTCCCAGCCACCTCTCTTCACCCCTGCCTCACCATAGTCACCACGACCCGACCTCTTACCACCCTTACCACCCCACTCGGTCGAATCCACCTCCACGCGTAAATCGATTTTTTTCCCTAATCGCGCCCGCGTCGCGAAACACCAAGGCGAGAGCCGCTCGACCCCCTCCGCTCTACCTACCCAGAGGCAGACGTTCCAGATGAGCTTCGATCAGGAGAGTGACTCTGACCGAGAGTCATCCATTGAGGGGGATAACCGCAATTTACCCCACGCCGAGCTCACAACGGACGTCAAACCTGTTGCCCGTTCTGCGCGCACTCGCTTCGATCCTCCTCTGCCTGCATACGGTGGTGAGGGCCAGGAGTTCCAATCGCAGGAATCCGGTGATGAGTCGGATAACAGCGACTATACCCCTCCAGTCTTGCGGACTTTTTCCTCTCTTAACCCGCCCTCCTACTCGGACGACGGCGAAAACGACGACGACGACGACGAAGAAGAAGAAGAAGAAGAGCAGGAGCAAGACAATAGCCAGCGAGCGGAAGAACAGTTGCTGAACGGCTGTGATATGTATCAGCCCACCCAACACTCGCTCACTGCGGACCAAAATCTCAATTACTCAATTCCCCCAATCCCTTCGCAAGACGAGCTGCCGCAGCCAATCTACTCTAGCGAAGACGAGGACAGACCGCTCGACAAGTATGCGATTTTGGCTGCTGCGAGCAGAGATCGTACCCCGGAACCCATTGATGGTGCGTGGACAGAGCATAATGATACCGAACACCACTGACATCGCCAAAGGTCTCCCAGGTCCAGACGAGGACGTTGATGCACCACCTTCGGCTCAGCCACGGGAAGACATTGAAACGGCCATAAAACGATCCAGTCCAACGACACCTCTGAGCCTGTTGCGAAAGGCCACCAAACGAAACTTGACGCACAGCGGAAAGGAGCGACGTGCTGACAAGAAGAGGCTAAAGACAAAGGCCGCTCCAGCTGTTGTTCTTGGTGCCAGCTTCGCTGCCGAGAATCCCGGGATGAACGGTGACGTTGTTGATGACTCTACGCCGTCCGATCCAGATGTCGACAACGCCCCTGTCACCGAGACAACGCCCAGCAAGCAAGCAAAGAGGCCACCAGCGACACCCGTCCTAGCCACTACGCCAGCTAGCCAGAAGCGCAAGCAGCAGTCTAAGCCCACATTCGCGCTGGCATCTCAACAGAAGCCCCTGAAGACATATCGTCTAAAGAGCTCTAGCATCAGGTCCGATCCCTACATCGAAGACGATAGCGAAAATGGTTCCGGCAGTGGTGGTGACAAGACCAATGGGGAGCATACGACTAGCACTACAGCTGAAGCGTCCAGTCAGACTGTGAAGCAGACCAAACTATCTTCGTCCGCCCAGAAGGAACGCGATGCGGCAAGCAGACAGGTTGCAATGGGTAACGGCAATGCAAAAGCGAGAAATAGCAAAGCAGCAGGTGGCAGCACTCCGACGCCACGCAGGTCTACGCAGACCCCTACATCAATCCGGAAGACGAAGAAACGAGCCAGCCAGCCAAATACTCCTACTACGCCTCAGAATCCGCTCAACCGAGTCTTCAATAAGGATGATCTCCTACGGATTACACAGGCCATCGAATCGTTCAGCGCCCAGCACAAGCTGACGCAAGTAGAAATCAATGACATGATTCAAGAGCGTTTCGGAGCCGGCCGGCACTCTTTCAACGAAGTGCTCGATACACTTTGGAACACGATTTTTTCCGTGTGCCCTGGAAAGACGCGTCAAAAGACGATCGACTACTGTCGCAAGAACTTCCATAACTTCAAGGCGCGCGGCGGCAACTGGACAGTAGAAGAGGACGAGGACCTGGCGATGCTGGTCGAGCAGCACGGCAAGCAGTGGACGAAATTGTCTAAGGAACTCAACCGCCATCCAGAGGATATTCGGGACAGATATCGAAACTACGTCATTTGCGGCCAGAATCTGGATCGGTCCGGCTGGACTGACGACGAAGAGCGCTTGCTTTTGAGATTTGTTGAAGAGGCACGCGAAGCTCTAAGGGGTCCTTTGAGAACCCGTCCAATTGAGTCGACTATTGATTGGCAGAAGATCAGCGACGAGTTTGGTCGCAGCCGCAGCCGTCTCCAATGCTTCACCAAGTGGAAACGGTTGCAAGGCGAATAAGCGCAGGGAAAGACTGTACATGTCTCGACGAATGGCTGGGGCGTTTAGGGATACCCGAGACTCTTGTGTTTTTTTTCTTCTTCTTTTGCTCTTTCGTTAGCTGTGGGTCTCTTGATTAGTTGCTTCGAGACGGCATGCATCATCATGATCGAAACACAAACGGGCTGGAGAAGTATGGTCAAAAGAGATTGCGTGTGCCTCGCGGCGCTGGCTCTTGTGTATCAAGTCTAAATCGTGTAGCGAAAATGCGGGCTTTCGTCCCCCAGCTCTGCTAGCTCTTCCTCCGAAAGGTCGCGGTGTTTGTCAGAGAGTTCGCCGCGATCCCGCTGGTTATTCTGGCGGTTGAAATACCACCACATGAAAGCATAGATGCATGTTGCCATGCTCACCATGGCAAGTGTCGTGGCGTGACCACGGATGTACCGCGGCCCGTCGGCAGAACCGCTGAGGACACAAAGTAAGTTGACAGCTCAGCTTACCACGGAAGATGAGAAGAAACGTACTAGATGAATGGCGCCATAATGCCTGCACAGTTACCTGTCGAAAGCTGCATTCCGTTGGCCGTAGTTCTCTTTCCATATCTGGGAGAGTTGTTCGGCAGCTATGAACACCTCGTCAGCAACATCGTTCCAATATAGCAGGGAAGGGGAGCGGGTGGAATGCGACTCACCCAGGCGAGCGGCAGCCCGACAACAACGTAGAGTCCGGTGGCTACGAGGAAACATCTATCATGGGTCAGCAAGAAGAGTGCGGTGCTAAGAAGCTGCGGTCCCTGTACGCACCCAAAATAGTGCACGCCCTGGGAAGTCGGGGATATCAGCACGCCGTAACCGACGACACTGATGGTACCGAAAATGACGCAGAACAGTCCGCGCTTGCGCGTGCGGTCCGAGAGGAATGCGATGCACATGTACGTCGCGGCGCCGAGGAAGTAACACGGAACCGTGAGGAGCTGGACTTGAGCCACCGTCCAGTCGCCGAGGCCGCGGATGATGGTGGGCAAGAACGTGGAAAATCCTGGTCAAGCAGAGTCAGTCAACAGATGGCCTTTATGAGCCTTGCAGTGGCTCGATAATGGTGGCGACTCACCGTATAACATGGTGTCTGCGCCAAAGAGCCCGATGCAGAACATCCAAACTTTCCAGTCACGGAAGGCCTTGACCATGTCGCGCCGGTCAAATTCCTGGGCGCTCTTCGTCTGGCCGTACTCTCGGCCCAGTCTCGCGGCCATCATGACTTTCTCCTCCTCAGTAAAGAAGTAGGCGGTGGCGGGGTCATTCGGCAGGGCCCAGTACGTGATTATGCCGAGCACAAAAGTCGGGATGCCCTCGATGATCATGATCCACCGCCAGCCGCTCATGCCCTGGACGCCGTCCATGTGTCCGATGCCGTATGCGAGCAGACCACCAAGCGCGCCAGCGATAGCGGCCGAGACGAAGAGGTATCCCACACGCAGAGCGAGCTCGTGCTTGGTGTAGAAGAATGTGAGGTAAACGTTCAGGCCCGGGAACAAACCGGCCTCGAAGATGCCGAGCAGGAGGCGGCATGCGAGGAGCGCGCCGTACGAGTTGACGAGGCCCGTCAGGGTCGCGATAATGCCCCAGGCGCATGTAATGAAGGCTATCCAGCGGCGTGGCGTGAAGCGCTTAAGCACGAGATTGGAAGGAACCTCGAACAAGATGTACGTCACGAAGAGGATCGAGACGGCGACCTGGAACTGGTTGCCGACGAGCCCAAGGTCCTCTTCGAGGTTGTATAGGCGAGCATTGCCAATGTTGACACTTTTATTTAGTCCCAGAGTGTAAGTAATTGTTCATCACGCCCACCCAAAAAACAAGGAAGGGAAAGCATACCGGTCGAGGAAGCTCATGAGATACAAGAGCATCACCAGGGGAATGAGGTACAAGTCTAGTTTTCTCACTAGTTTCTCCTCGCTGACATTCCTCATCGTGAGACTGGTTGTGCTGGAAGTCTGATTCCCATCGAAAACCACATCCCCGGGCTGATCGGCAGCCATCGTCAGAGGTTGGTCCGTCTCGTCTGTTGAGAGCTTGCGGCTGTTGGTGTTTCTCACAAAATTCCAAGGGAGTATACAGTCCTCGTCCTTCAGCCATACAACTTTTGCTGTGAAGAGCGGAATCACCCGGGCGGCGACATCGGTGATTACATAAGCGCAAAGTCATGCTGTAATCATGCGAAAATTCCAGAGTTTGCTACTGTACCTACCTTCCTTACCTACCTAGATACCTACCTTCCTTACCTAGATACCTACCTTGGGTACCTAGGGAGGTCGACTTAGTGTACGGATGCCATCGATATTGTGAGAATGTCGATGACTGCATCAGGAACTGTGCTCGGGGATTTATCGTTCGAGTCCAGCACCAATGGCACCACTGAGTGGCTTGGCGGCGTTGGGTACCAGGGAGCGAGAGGTTCGCACCCGCATGGCGACACGTACCTCCCACGTCCACATGCACTAGCATCTCCTCAAAACTTTGCCGCCTGTCAGCCTCCGCCAAGGGGCCTCGAAAGATGTCTCTGGTTTGGGCCTCCCCGACACGGGGCCACTGCTGCGAATCCTTTCAGCGCTCACCCGCTCCTGCACAGTAGCATTGGCAAAGGATGGCGGCGCAGCAGCATCCTGGGTAGCGCAAATGCCGTACTTATAAGTTGAGGGCTCTGACCCGAACGAGGACTCTCTAGCCTGTACAAATCATCTTACTCTCATTTCAGGTTCGCTTCGAGACATCATGAAGTTCCTCGTTCATATGTTCCTTGGGACCCTCGTCGCCGTCTTGGCAAGCGCCCAGACGCAAGCTCCACCAGCTGGGTGGCCTGTCTTTTGGCACAAGGGCATAATCACCGACAAGCCCACCTCCATCTACAACCCGACCAATGAGTTCATATTTCCCAGCGTATTTCATGCCGGACGCTGGCTGAACAATGCTCGAGCTGAGTGGTACATTTACTATGCGCCTCACGACGATCCCGGCGGCATTTCGCTTCGGTACTCGGACAGCCTCGAGGGGCCCTGGACAGAGTATCCCAACAACCCCGTCATTTCACGGTCCTGGGGCTCACACTACAACGTCCCACACGTCTCGAGCCCGGATGCCATCTGGAACCTAGAAGCGAATGGGGGAAAGGGCCGCATGATCATGTACTTTCACGGCAGCAACTCCGTCACCCGCTGGGCCTACTCGGACGACGGCATCAAGTTTGGCTACGGCGGCGTCGCCGTCACCAACGCCATGGGTGGACCCGCCGTGACCGAGACGAGCTACGCGCGCGTCTTCAGGCACCCGGATCCGAACTCACGGTACAACTATGGCATGTTTTACATGGGCAACGAGCGTGACAACATCCGCCGCATCCGTCTCGCCGAGTCGATCGACGGCAAGACCTGGACCGTCAGCCCCGACTACGTCGTGGCGCCCGGCCCCGAGGAAGGCGCCAATGTCTCGGCTGGTGAGCTGTGGAACTGGAGGGGCCAGAACTACATCATCTATCATGCTTCCAGCGGCAAGGCGTACGCTCGTACGATTGATCGCACGCTGCGCAAAGTTGGTGATAAGCCTATTGTGCTGTTTGACGGTAGGGGCGACAACAGTGGAGATCGTGTGGCCTCGCCAGTTGTCGTTACGCGCAATGGCTTGACATACTTGTTTTACGAGAAGGGGGGCCGTCTCGGCGGCACCATTGCTTGGGCAAAGATGGCTGCTCAGTAAATGGGTCGCGGTGATCTAAGGAGGTTTCCACATGAAGACGGCGACAAAGGCTGTCGAAAATGAGTCGAAAGCGAGAAAAGGGAATGGTTGCCATTCCATGACAATCTTGAGGCTCTGATCTCTCACCGTGGTACAAGCTGATGCATGTTGAGTTGTGGCGCTGCAAATATGAGGTGCTTTGAACGTCCCAGGTCAATAGCTCGTGAGCATTTGTCTACGGTCAGTGGGTTTCACCTCACAAGGATTTGGAAGCGGGTGTTCATTTCACTTCAGGCTCAGAAATATTTCGCGGATACACCAAATTCCCGAGCAAGCCCTTCCGTGACTTGGGAGCCCATGCAAAGTTGACTCCATACATTTCGCCTCTTTCTCCGTCTCGATGTCTCTCAGATACTTCTACAGACATATTCTCTTCGCCAATGCCGTAACATATGCACACTTAGTGGCCTATCAAGCTGATTTGATGCCACGAGTTTCAGTCTCGGTACCATTCGCTCTCGCCAGCGCATCGGGCAGGGCTCTCGAATCTTCGCTAGTCACCAAGTCATTGTCTTCTTGGAAGCCGGGTTCTCCGCCCGTGGGACCAGCCAAGCCATACCATGCAACAACGCAAACGCCCAGGACGCCAGCGATGCAGCTGAAGACGAAAGCGACTATGCCCCGAGCAGTAAAGCTGAAATATGTTAGCTGCGCCTCATTTTCACCATGGATTTCTCTTGAAAAACACTCACCCTCCTGGTAGAGGTCGTGGTGGGGCATTTTGGCCCTTAAGGTCCAACAAGTTCTGCGTATTTGCTGCGGCATTACCCGCGACAGGCACATCACCTGCTGTGCAGACATCGAAATGGTCTTGCGGGATGGCGATTGTCTTTTGGAGCTCTAGAGGGGCTTCAACAAAGGTCGCCATGAGACCTGACGTGACATGCCACTCAATGTGGCAATGGAATAACCAGATGCCTGGTCACTGTCAGTATTGTGATTCCACATGAGCCTCACCAGATAAGAAACATACCAGGGTTGTCTGCCTTGAACCTCAAGACGATGTTCCCGTTTGGCCACACGACCAGGGTATCGCGTCGCATGGGAACCTTGGGGAAATCATCCTCAGTCAGATGAGCATCCTCAAATGTGCCAGCTTCTTCGACAGATCGGTGAAGCGCCTGGAAGGCGTGACCGTGAAGGTGGAAGGGGTGTCGTCCGGGGTCAAGGTTGTTCAGGACAATCTGAACAATTTCATCCTTCTCCAGGACGAAGCTGTGAGTGTATTCACCGTACACCTGGGGGTTCGTCGCAAAATCTCCGGATGTGAGCGCAGTGTACAGAGTCGGGACCTTGGGATGCGCGTATGTAATGTTGTTGAAGAAGGCATAATTGGCGCCATCGCCCAGGTTGCCCATGACCACATCGAGCTCGACGGTATGGCCAGGCTCCCCGTACCTTTCCAGCTCATCTTGAGGAACCAGTGTCATGTCATCGAACGGCTCGAAAGTGTCAACGATCGCAGGCGCCGGCTTATCTTTCGCATCGTCGTACACCAGCCAGCCGGTTACATTCCAGTTGAGGTCATCAGGCAGTTGGTCGAAGAGGTCCTGAGTATGGCTGTCAGCAGACTTGTCAGATCATTCAGGCGAAGAGACCTACAGTGTCCATACTTCCCACAATTGGAAAGTTCTGGCTTGTGTCGTTTCGAGTCGTCAACAAGAAGCTGCATCTTTGCGCCGCAGCCAAGTAAATCATGCTGGCTTCTGCGGGCTTGGTGTAGATACCATCAACCTCGACAATGGAGATGTTGTGTCCTTCGAACCAGAAATACTGGGCGGCAAAAGCCGCCATGTTGATGACCCTGATCAAGTACGTCTTGCCGGGCTCGACGGACAGGGCCAGGTTCTGGGTTTCGTTCATCAAAGCTGCTTGTGGGACCGGTTCGGCGCCCGTTGGATTTGACTTTGTCAAGAATTGAGGAATGAGAACTTGCATCTGCTCATGGTACCAATCCGAGAGAGTCAACACGATCTCTTCGCTGTACTCGTCTTTGAAGGGTGAGTCTGGGTCGTGAATGACCAGAGGGCCTCTCAGACCATCTGGGTACTGGCTCTGGGTATGTGAGTGATACCAGTATGTGCCAGGTTGGTCGATCTGTTCCTGTTAGTATTGAAATTTCTGTGCGGCGAGAACTCAACTGACTGTAAAGTTATACGTCATGGATGAACCTGGAAGAATGGCGCATTGCGTGACCATGGACGGTCCGTCCATATGTGTTGCATTGTTCATGAAGAGGCCGTGAAAATGAAGCGAGGTCGACTGGTTGCCGAGCTCATTGTGCGCATGAACAATGACCCTATCACCTACGTTGGCATCGATGCGAGGAATGGGCCACTGGCCGTTGATGCCTATCGTCGGCCTGTTGAACGCTCCATCTGGATTGGCTGTCACCCACTCAATGGTGAAATTGTAGGTGACGGTCGCCGCGAGGGCCGGACACAAGAGTCCAAACGATAGAGCAAGGCGACTGAATCTCATTGCGAGCAGAGGGTTCAGGCGGCTGTTCCTAAAGACTGGATGTGCTCCCTTGGCCCTGGACAGAGAGGAACAATAACGGCAAGAGAGAAGAGCAGCAAAAACATCAAGGAAAGTGCGAAGTGAGCAGAGGTCGTACCCTCGGAGCCGAGATCTACATGATACGATCATTCCAACCTTCATCGGCACGAGGTAATCGGAAACGGAACAGACGGCTGCGTTATCAATCTGATAATCAGGTATAAGCCAGGCCCAGACCAACCCTTGTACGCCTCCATCACGATGAGTCCCTCAGCTATTGGCCATGAAGATCAAGGCGAGTCAAGATGCGGTGCTGGCTTGGACCCCTCGCAGTCGGCTAGTGGTAGCTCGGCACACGGCATGTTCCCTTACCGTAGAGCTTCATCTGCCAACATGTCGTCCTATCCCTCGACTGGCACGAAGGTTGGGCGCGACTCGTTAAGTGACTCCAGTGATTGGCCGGGGTATGAACCTTCAGCCGCTCGGTTGGGCCATCAGTGGGCGAAGACAAGCTTTTCAGTCGGACTACCGCTGCATTAGCGTCACGCAAGTGGTACCACCCAACACGAGTCCTAAGAGGGGCACCATGTGCCGGTAGCCGTGATCGCGGGACAAGTTGATCTTAGCCCAAACCGTGTCATTGGACCCTTTAATCTATCCATACCTTAGCTATGCAGCTGTCCCGACTTGCAAGACGAAAGAGATGGGAAGAGTAGACCTAGGTCGTCCCCCTCTCCTCGAAGTTGACCTCTTGTCCCCCTCCTTCTTGCCCAAGTTGCCCGACCTGGGAATTCATCCTGAGAAGAAACACCATCACAGCTTATGGAATCTGCTGCTCGGTAGACATCATGACAGTCAATGTATTCTCAGTCCCCATATTTCTCGTGGTCTTCCGCGAGGCACTCGAGACGGTCATCATCGTTTCGGTGTTGATGGCCTTCTTGAAACAAACCCTGGGCGGCCCCGAAGGCGACCAGCGTGTCTACAAGATCCTTCGAAGACAAGTAAGTTCATATTGTGATCATATAATCTGCTCCTGGGTTACTGACTGTGTCCAATAGGTCTGGCTCGGCGTAGGTATAGGCCTCTTGCTCTGTCTAGTTGTAGCAGGCATCATCATTGGCGTCTTCTACGGTGTCGGCCGCGTGAGCTGGGAAGCCAACGAGTACTATTATGAGGGATCGTTTGCCCTTTTTGCCTCTATTATCATCACTCTCATGGGAGTAGCCCTCTTGCGTGTCGGAAAGATGCAGCAAAAGTGGCGCATCAAGCTCGCCAAGGCTCTCGAGGCCCCAATCAACAAGGGCGGCAAGAAGGGACGGTTCAAGCGATTTGCCGAAAAGTACATCATGTTTGTCCTGCCCTTCATTACCATTCTCCGCGAGGGCATCGAAGCCATCGTGTTTGTGGCTGGCGTCACCTTCTCCGCCCCTGCATCTGCCGTTCCCCTTCCAGTCATTGTTGGTTTGATCGCAGGTATCGCCGTCGGTTTCCTGCTGTACAAGTAAGTCTTACTACCTGCGGATTGTTCGTGTCATGTCTAATCATGTTCAAAGGAGTGGCGCCTCCACCAGAATCCAGGTCTTCCTTGTTGTTTCGACCTGCCTGTTGTACCTTGTTGCCGCAGGCCTCTTCTCTCGCGCCGTGTGGTTTTTCGAGGCGCAAAAGTGGAATGACGCCGTAGGAGGCGATGCGGCCGAAGTCGGCAGCGGCCCTGGCTCATATGATATCGATAAGAGCGTCTGGCACCTCAACGTCCGTAAAACCTCTCTCGTTTTTCCTGATGAATGTTCGTAGGGCTGACCTTAGGGATAGTGCTGCAACCCCGAGCTGAACGGCGGAGGCGGCTGGGGTGTTCTGAATGCCATCTTCGGATGGAACAACTCGGCTACCTATGGCTCCGTCATCTCATACAATGTATACTGGATCTTTGTCATGACCTGGTTGATCCTTCTCCGTTTCAAGGAGGTCAAGGGCAGGTGGCCATTGATGAAGGCAAAGGCGGTCCCTCAGCCACCTTCATCCAGCCATTCGGGGTCGTTGGATTCGCCCGACAACCACGAGAAGCAGAGTCCAGAAGCCACTGTAGCTTCAAGTACTGCCCATTAGGCGATTCAAGTCTTGTTGTTGCAGGGTATACCGGCTATATGACTCCAACGGCCTTTGGAGGATTTATTGTCGGCTCCTCATATTCATCTAGCCTTATACTACCTTACAGGCCTTGGCCATGCTCGAAGGACTGAATAGTCGTTTAGAGTTTCGACGAATCTTGGGGATCTTTTCAACTGTAACGTTCTCAGTGCGTGGAAGAGAACTCAAAACACATGTTCATTAATCATGTATCAACTACACTACTATAGTGTCTTGGGCATCATGGCTCGTGTATCTAGCTCGCCTCCTATTTACAAGTCGATCTCTTTCGAGACGAGACAGATCCCGTTTATACAATTAGGCGGCCTAGTGTCATGCTCTTTCTTACATGCATCCAAAGGATGGAGAAGCTCATTTCATCCACAGATAGCGCCCGTGATGATGGTATAGCCCGCTGTGCGCTGTGCGTGGCACTTCATCACATAAAGGCGTCCCTGTTGCCCCCTTTTCTATGCGGTGGAGTTCTGTGTGGTGGCGGTGGCGGCGGTGATGGGCTCCTCTCGCTGCCACCACGTGATGTGTTGTACCGTGAACGCTGTGCTTCATACTCTGCCTCTTGTGCCTCTTGATCCTCTCGTGCCCTACTCGGTGGCGATCCTGTGATGCCTCGACCGTACCTAGATGCCTGGGGGAAAGATACATCGCCAGAGTGTCCCATCACATGTCGCTTATCATCTCCCGGGTAGTACTCGTCGTTTTCGTCATCGTCGTCGTCATCATCATCATCGTCATCATATCGAGGCAACGCTGGCATTGATCGTGAGTCGCCTTTCACAAGGCCAGCTTGCTCCTCTTCAGTTGCGTTCTTAACCTGAGGAGTGGAATTGCCTCGCGATCCCAGACCGAAGCGCGTCAAGTGACCAGCTGACCGTGGGGGATGAGGGAGCTCGTCATCAGCTTCGACGGCAGAAGACGATGTCTGGCCTCGTTTGAAGATGTTCTGGAAGGAAAATTGTCTCTTGGCTGTATGCGGTGGTGGCGTAGGTGCGAGGAAGGAGCTGCTGCCGCTAACACCACTGACATGGGATCCATGCCGGGCATGATATACACCCTTAGCGCCCGCATATTCTGTGTTTGAGACGCCATAATCGGAGTCATGAGGTCCTGTGCGATAAGAGCTTCCGTCGTTTGTCGGGTAGCCAGACACTGCAATGTCCGTCAGAGGAACAGGGGGCATCGGGGGGTGTTGCTTGGGGTCGAGGGAGAAGTCGGGTCGGTTAGGGGTTAATACGGATCGGGCACGGTTCCGGATCGTACCAGCAATGCTAGACATCATGCCAGGCGAGCTGGGTCGGTCCATGTCGGCAAGCTCGTCATCCGTGGGGAAATGAGACATGCCAAGAGGCGGGTGAACCTCTGGAGTCCGGGGAATGGTGAAGGTGCTGCGTACTGTGCCGGACCTGCCCCGCCCGACGCTGCTTTGGCTTCCAAGCATGGTCTTCCTGCGTCTCAGTCCATCCCACTCATACTCCGGCCCATCTTCACCCACTGGCGCCAGCTGCTCCCGCTGCTTTTCTTCGTGAAGTCGCTTGAATTCCTCAGCCTCTCTCTTTTGCCTCGTAGCTGAAAACCTCCGGACTATGGCCGCAGCACCACGAATGGCGTCAGCTTTGGGTTCAGTTTCAGACTGCTCCTGCTCGGCGATAGTATGAATCTGGTCCAAGTTTCCTGTGAATACAGCCGTGTCGGGTACGTCCTTGGCGGATTTGGATAATTGTAACAAAACAACGCCGGCGCAAATGGTTAGGAAACCCATAACGACGCTCACAATCTGATTGGCGCTGCCTTTGAAGCCTCGGAAAAGCACGGCCGAAGTAATAATGGTTGTGCTGGTGAAGTAAACATAGTAGGTCGGCGTGACCATGGCAGCATTGTAGATATTCAACGCCTTGTTGAGATACACAATCTCAATGAGAAGAGTAGCGATGACGAAAACGAGGAGGACATAGATGAACCACTTGTTGAACTGCGGTGTGCCCTCTATCTGGGTCAGAATCGCAGCGCCCAGGCCCTGGGTAGCGACAACGCTCAAGCCTCCGATCCAGCTGCAAATGGAGATGTAGACCAACATGGTCTTTTTGCCCCATTTTGGGCCGGCCCAGAACGCGGCGACGAAAAAGCCAATGATGATGACGCCAGCGTAGGACAGAAATCCAGGCTTGATGACGAAGTCTTGCATTTGCTCGATAGTAGCGACGGCAGACTGCTGTGGTGCGTTCATAACGATGACAACTGAACCTACCAGGCACAGAAAACAGGAGACTTTGCCGACCATGCTCAGTCGCTCCTTGAGAAATATGGCGGACAGAACTGTGGTAACCACGACGGACAGCGCACCGAGAGGCGTGACAAGAATGGCGTCGGTGAAGGCATATGCAGCCAAGTTGCAAAGCTCTCCGAGAATCATGAGCGTCATGCCGCCCCACCAATAAGCGTTCTTCAGGAAGCCATAACCCTCGCCAGCTTCCTCGTTGTACTTTGCGTTGGCAGCCAGTAGGCCCATCTTTTTCAGGATAAAGGAGACGCCGATAAATAGACCAGAGGCAATGGCCAGACATATGCCAACGGTTTTGTAGAAGGCCGGGCGGCTTGACGGATCTCCGCCGAGGTCAGCTCGCGTGTAGACATGATTTGTTGTGGCCAGCAGCCGCGATGCGTGGTCCATCGCAATCTTGCGGCTTTCGTAGCAAGACGAATGGTCGAGTTCCTGCCGCAAGTGCTTCGTGTATGACGAACTGGGCGTCGGTGATTGTGTATTCTTTCGATAGGGATAGAGAGGAGTGGTCGAAGAAGGCTAGCAGTGTTCCATGGAATGAGGTGTCTCTGAGCCAGGAGCTTGGCATATAAGAGGCCAGCGAAAAAGTGTGCTGCAATATTCTCCCCACCACTTGGCCACGAGGATGTGTTTGAGACGGGCGTTCGTTGAGCGTCGGTGTAGGGGTCTCTGTCGAAAGGAAGAGTTGATGGTTCCGGTGGAGTGGTCGAAGTGGTTGTATGCGAAGCGACTTCAAATTGCGTAGTGTCGGAATCAAGGCCACATCGGAGAACAAGCCAAGTCGCACGGCAAGTAGAGACGATCGAGGTGATGGAGGTTCTAGCGATGTCGAGTAACAATGTGCAGTCGGACAGCTTTGCCGGCTTCGTAGGTAGAGAACTTTTAGGAAGCTTGTTTCAGGATATCAAAAGCCGACTTGAAGGGCAATTCCCAGAATGAAGGAGTTGCCACTGTTACCGTGGCCGTGGTGGTTGTCGGGACGATCGGCGCATGCAACTGGCTGACGTCGTTGAAGCAGGGGGGGGGGGACTGGTATCGTCAATGGAGGGGGGGGGGGGGGGGGGGGGTTGGGACTGTCGAAAGGTCTCCCCACGGATTGTCTCGGCAAGTGAGGGCCGGCGACGAAGGGCGGCAGGTCAAATCGAAATGGTCTTGGCGGTGAATGGGAGAACAGCAACAACTAGGACAGCTTCAGAACTCAGAACACATGTTGCAGAGAAAAGTCGGGGAAGCAGAGAAATAGGAGAGCTGGCGCGCCCTTGACGACAGACTATATTCAGGATCTGGGCGTGGAAGCAGGGACCGGGGGGGGGGATTGACCGGGTTGGATCGACGACACATGCAGGCCGCCAATGGAAGAACCGACACGGAGGGCGGTTGGGTAGGTATGCACTGTAGTCAAGCATTTCGGCGCTGCACGCTTCGGGGACGCTAGGCCTGTCTGGCCTGGCCCCGGGCTCCTGGCTCGCTTTCCACAGCAGCAAGCGCGCCGTCTAGCCAGCTGAGACTGCCTAGGCAGGACTGGACCAGGCCAAGTGGGATGGATGGTTGGAAGTTGGAGCCCCTCATCACCAGGGAAGAAGCGTTGTTTCATCATCTCGTCCGTGGCTGCTCTCGTGTCATGTTTTGCCCAGCAACGCTCAAGTCTTTCCGTCCTTCCTTGGACATGACAAGAGGACCATGATCTTCATTCGGATTGTGTTCACCACGTAACCCCCAACTTGTGATCTTGCCAAGGGCTTTTCATGAGATTGCAGATACGAACCCAATTCAACCGAAGCTGAAAAGGCGGCAGGTCGGCCCCCTTTTTGCGCGACTCGAGCGCTGCCGCAGCCACCGTCGTCGTCATCCGTTCCTCCCACTAAACATGGCCGAAGGGACAGGAATAGAAGGCTGCGCCAGGCCATCCACACCAACATACAGCACTTTGACGATCTCTGCTGGTTTTTCCCACCATACAAGGGGCACTATCTTTGTACCTCTCGTCTTGATCTGATTCCGCTCATGCCCTACCTAATCGAGACGCGTCATCTTTCTTATGTACTGCCTGCTGTTCCAGCCGGAACAAGATTTCAAATTATCGTGTCGCTTGTAGACACATAGATACGTAGCTGTTGCAGCCATGCATGGCGGCGTCTCGACTGTCTGCAGGTGGCTACCGTCCCCTACCTCTCTATCCAACGAAACGGCATCTCGCGCCATCTTCCGCAACACCCCTTGTCATATGCGACAGGCCATGCTTGGGCCAACCAACACTCACCTGTTGGACGCTGACGATCCGTAACTAAGTCATCAGGCAAGCCCACGCCGACCTCACGCATGGGTTGTGGTCCGATTGGTAACTCTTCTGAATGCATCATTCTGTCGATATCGCAAGGCGTCGAGTAACTCGTTAGGAGTACAATCACCCTCCATGGATCAGATTCTGAGTTCAAAGGCTCTGCATCATCCCTCTCAATCATCCACTGATACGGTTTAGTTGCTTTGAAAGGCCATTTTCGGCGATGACGCTTATCAGCAAACAGCTTTTGTCTGTTGAAACACAGCTTCATCATACTCATCCAACCGCCTCTACCGATTGAACACAACGACACATCTGAGCTACCTGTAGTCATTCGTACCACTCCGCGCTCTCTTGAAGCCGGCACTCGTCCTTCATCCACTTTTCACGTGCAAGCGCCACCCGAGCCCTCAGAAATCATCCGATGAGATTGAGGCGCGTTCGTCATCCCACAGCAGGTGACAGGCATATGGTTCACTCCCGATATCGCTTACCTTAAATCCATGAGCGATTCGAGGCATACGCTTTGAGGGGCAGAACTGCCGACACTCATCTAGATCCGTTCGGCGCTATTGATGTTCGCCGCTGTGACGGAGGCGGCCCGGGCGCCGATGCACCGTTCGACGTCACACACGCAGCCGCGAAGCGGGCAACTGGTCTCCGGAAAACCGACCGAGAGGTGTCCATAGTGAACAACATTTGGAGTGCTCTTCACCCGTGCCTGTCGACATAGGTAGTCTGGGCGAACCACGGAAGCTTGATAACGAGAACCCAACGATGACCGAAGGCCAGTAGGCAGTGGCATAAAAAACCTGTATCCATGCTGCAGTTCTTCCAAATAAGATGCTACGGCGATTACTGATCGCATCACGCAAGACTGCGGCAGAGCATCAATGTTGTGATATTCCCGGAACCCCTAACTGAATCGTTGGGTCGGATTCCTCATCTACGTACATTGTACGTTTGTAGCTTCTCGGTGACTCGGTGAGTGGCAGACAAGTATTAGTCGTGCCGAATCAGGTGTCTTGCAGATGGCGTCATCTGGCCCTGACAAATCAAGCTACAGCCCTGTGTCGCACCTTGACAGCCCATGCCCCAAGATAGAGTGACCTCGTATCTGGTGTATACTGTATTACTGAGTAAGTACCTCGGTGGTAGGCCTCCTGACCTGGAAGAATCTGCGAGCTTCGGTGTCTCTCCCCCTGCCCCATCGCGTGGCTCAAACCCCGGCAGACACAGCTTTCGGTGCAGCACTCCCTATTAGAAAGCACGCTTACTATTGCTGGAAGCCAGAGACTTCGTCAGAGGGGCTCAACACGCGCCTTACAGTCCCATTACACTACCAGTACCAGCACCAGCACCAGCACCCGCACCTGCACCCGCTTCCCGACCCAACCGCTGTCGTTATTTAGAGCACATCACCCCGCACCTCCATCCCACGCCGCAGCTTCAATGTCAACTAAATTCCTTCTACACTCCATCCGACCGGCTCTGTCACGACCCAGTTCCCAGTTCTTGTCCCCTGCCATCACATCTAGGCTGTTCCAAACTTCGTCTTTCAAAATGGGCGTCCACAACATCAACTCGTATGTGCCTTGCCGTCCCCTCTGCCGTCCTTGCGCAAGCGACCGTGGGCGACTTGGTCCATGACGCGATCGCGCATCAACCCCTCCAAAAAGATCCATACTGACTTGGCATCCGGTACAGCAAGGCGGACTTCTACAAGGCCATTAACGGCGAGGAGGTCACCCTCGCTGCCGACAACGTCCTGCCCAGCAAGAACGTCGCCATCCTCGACTGCTTCGCTACGTGGTGCGGTCCCTGCAAGACTATTGCCCCCATATACGCGCAGTGAGTACAAATGCTATACCCCCATGCCAGATGGCGCCGAAGAACTCTGTGCTGACAGGTTGCGCTCTCGTCAACAGGCTCTCCGAGAAGTACACCAGCGTCAACTTCCTTAAGATCGATGTCGACGAGGTCCCCGACCTGAGCCAGGAGCTCGGCATCCGCGCCATGCCCACCTTCATGGTCTTCAAGGACGGCCAGAAGGTTGAGGAGATTGTCGGTGCCAACCCCCCCGCCCTCGAGAAGGCGCTCCTGAAGTACTCCGCCTAATGTTGCCGTTGCTTGATACCACTGGGAAGAGGAGGAAAATCACATACCATCGCCCTCGGATGGCGCTTCATGGAATGTACTGCTGCATAGAGAATACACGAGAATCTTTCATCATGTCTTGCGCCCTACCACCTGGATACATCTGTACATCGGGATGGCGACGATGTCCCAGCTGTCCCATGCTTGCTTGGTCTGTTGCAAAGTCGACGAACTTGTCATCCGACCTTGGTGCAACTACAGGCTAACCAAACGCAGCTTTGCGTCATTAACTACGTGGTCGCTACCGCGTTGGCGCCTGTGATGTTGAAAGTGTTGGCCGGGCTCATGAACGTGCTTTTCATGACTATCAGAGCCCGATTCTCTAACGAAGTGTCTAAACATTCTTCAGTCGACAGCTTGCGCCGAAGTGACGTATTTCTGCCAAATTCTGATTTCCGCAGATAACTTGTCTTGTAAACCTCATTCCCGAGTGAGTGCGAGTCTGGTATTCTCTCAAGCGCAGAAGGTTTGATGAGGCACATTGGAATTCATGAAATCCCAGAAACATGATGGTCTACCACTAGACAAGTTTCTATCCCTCTAATCTACAACGACGCAAGAGATCCTGGGCGTTATCGAGCGCAGTACAAATAAGCCTGTATTAAGCATCATCAAATGAAAGCCAAGAGTAAAAGAAAATGAAGGGAACAGCTACCTCTGTTCTTGGTTTGTGCAGCAGCGCAAAAATTTCTTCCCGAATTGGTTTTTTTTTTTTTTTTTTTTTTAAGCTTGAGTCGATCTTTGACCACAGAACACCATAATAAATAACAGGCATGTCGTATCGACTTGGCTAGGAATTCCGACCACAGTTGTGTTTTTGCACTTCAAAACGCGTACATGTATCCAGCATGCCTGACTACGAACACTCACGGCCCTTATCCCGGCCCTGAAGGCTCCGTGATCGGGCGGGGAGAGGCGGAACCCCCCCGCCCCCTCTCCCGCAGGCGGACTCGGCCGGGCTCAGCTCGTCAGCCTGGCCCAGGAAGCCCTCCCGCTGCACATATGATTCGATTTGATGGCTCCGCCCACACCATCGTTCTGGTGGCTGTAGTATTTCCATTTCACATCAGCAGCGATACATGCGTTTGCCTTGTGCTTGAGTCATTGTACTGCTGCGGCTAGCTGCGGGGTTCAATTCCACCATTGACATCGGCGCCCTCCCTTTTGCACCTGGAGCCACTATCGCCCTATATCCCGACTCCATCCTCAAAGGACCAAAAACATTCTTGAGCCTCCATCCCACTTAGTAGAGCCTTTGCACCTCGGCCATTGCTCCAAGAGGAGTGTCGCAAAAATGGTGAAAAATATTGTCGTTTTGGGGTAAGTCGCCTATTGTTTCCGTCATTGCAGTGCAGCACGCTTACAAGACACACAGGGCGGGCGTCTCAGGCCTTACGAGTGCCCTCCTCCTTGCCAAAGATACGAACAACTCGGTGACGGTCATTGCGAAGCACATGCCCGGTGACTATGACATTGAGTATACGTCACCGTGGGCCGGTGCCAACTTTATGCCGTATGTGGGCCGCGCTTTCCTTGTGACGATGTTTGTGAGGGTCAACATGCTGACAGACGACGCGCAGCATGTCTTTTGAGAAGCAGAGCCGCTGGGAGCGCAGGACATGGCCTGAGCTCAAGCGGTTAGCTAAGGATGTCCCCGAAGCTGGCATTCACTTTCAGAGTACGTCAAACTCCCCGAGTCTGTTGAGGCCCTCGAAGCACAAGAGGCTGACAGCAGATGCGCGCGTGCAGAGGTTAGGGTCTGGCGACGCAAGAAAGACATGGCGACTGGCAATGCCTACGACGGTCTCTTCGCAGATGACCCCTGGTTCCGTCATCTCTTCGACGACTATCGCGACCTGAAGCCCGAGGAACTGCCGGCCGCCGCCCATTCCGGTAGCGAGTTCGGCTCTGTGTGTCTCAATACGGCGCTTTACCTGCCCTGGCTTGTCGGCCAGTGTCGTCGTTACGGCGTCGTGGTCAAGCGTGCCGTCCTGTCGCATATCCACGAGGCAAAGGCGATGCATCACTCGGGCAAGCCGGCAGACTGCATCGTCAACGCTAGTGGGCTACTCGCCTGTCGCCTAGGCGGCGTTGAAGACGCCACGGTCATCCCGGCAAGAGGCCAGATCGTGCTCGTCAGGAACGAGGCGACGCCGATGTCGACGATCAGCGGGACGGAGGACGTGGCGACGGATGTAAGTTACCTCATGCAACGGGCATCGGGCGGCGGCACAATCCTTGGCGGCACGTATGAGAAGGGTAACTGGGAGGCCAACCCGGACCCGAACACGGCGATCCGTATCATGAAGCGGTGCGTCGAGCTCAACCCGACTTTGACCAACGGCAAGGGCATCGAGGCCTTGGACATTATCCGACATGGTGTCGGACTACGGCCCACGAGGAAGGATGGTGTTAGGCTGGAGACGGATACGAGTATTTTCGAGGACGGAACGCCCGTGGTTCACAACTATGGACATGCTGGCTGGGGATTTCAGGGCTCTTATGGATGTGCTGAGCGGGTGGTGGAGCTCGTCAACGAGCTCGGTCAGGCCAGCAAAGCGAAGCTTTAGCTCTGCGCTCCTCTTATCTGTACTTATGGATGATCTATGCCAACGGATACGTTTACAGCTCTGACCAAAGTTTTCACAGCCAAGACAATCATGGAAACGGTTGCAGGCGGATGATGCTGAAGGGGAGCAAGAGGCATGATGAAACACAGTATTTGAGTCAGGAGCACTGTGCACAATACACGGTATCGGTCCCAGAAGTTGTAGATCCCCGAGGTGGCATTATAGGCAAGCGCCGAGCTTCAGCTACATCAACAGCGACACGTCCGGAGAAGCAACACGCTGCATCGTACCGCGACGGCACACCTCAGCAGCCATGGCGGACCAGCAGCTTGCGACCAAAGCAGCGGCCCCTGCGCAGCCCATCAACTTTCTTCTCGACATTGTGAACGGGCGACACAAGCTTTCTCGGGCCATCCCCATTGCTCTCCTGATCTTCGATGCTCTCCTCTGCATCCTGATCACACTCAAGGTTCCTTGTAAGCACCCCTCTGAGGCGTGCATGCCCAAACATGCCGCAAAGCTAACCCTGGGTCTCTAGACACCGAAATTGATTGGGTCGCGTACATGGAACAAATTGGACAAATCGTTGCCGGCGAGCGCGACTACAGCAAGATCAAAGGCGGCACCGGCCCTCTCGTCTATCCGGCTGCGCATGTCTACACCTACACGGGACTTTACTACCTGACCGATGAGGGGACGGATGTTCTTTTTGCACAATTTTTGTTCGCCATCTTATATCTGGCAACCTTGGCAGTGGTCATGGCATGCTACTGGCAGGCAAAGGTGGGACCCAACAACCCTCGACCCTCGGGGTTTTGTGACATGCGTTCTGACGGCAGACAGGTTCCGCCCTACATGTTTCCGATTCTTGTCCTGTCGAAGCGACTACACAGCATCTTCGTCCTGCGATGCTTCAACGACGGTGTCGCAGCCCTTTTCTTCTGGCTGGCCATTTTCAGCATGCAACGTCGTAACTGGGCTGCTGGCGCGCTTCTCTACAGCTGGGGCGTGGGGATCAAAATGTCCTTGCTCCTTAGCGTGCCCGCCGTGGCTGTGGTCCTCTTCTTCGGCCGAGGCCTGAAGGGCAGCTTACGCTTGGCGTGGCTCATGGCACAGCTACAGGCTCTGATCGGATTGCCCTTCTGGGCGAGGCATATGCGGTCGTACTGGGGTCGCGCATTCGAGTTGTCGCGGCAGTTCTTGTACAAGTGGACAGTCAACTGGCGGTTTGTGGGCGAGGAACTGTTTCTGAGCCAAGGCTTTTCGCTGGCGCTACTGACCGGACACGTGAGCGTCCTGTGGCTCTTCATCACGACGCGCTGGCTCAAGCCCGCCCAGAAGCCGCTGTCGGCCATGATCCCAGCACTCCTCAAGGCCGACTCGCCCTTCAACCCCCTCGAGGAGATCCAGGTTTCCGGTTTCGTGACGGCCAAGTACATCATGACCACGGTCCTGACGGCCAATGTTATCGGCCTCCTCTTCGCCCGGTCCCTCCACTACCAATTTTATGCCTATCTTGCCTGGGCGACTCCATACCTCCTCTGGCGTAGCGGTATCCCGTTCCCCCTTGTCTACATTCTGTGGGGTGTACAGGAGTGGGCCTGGAATGTCTACCCCAGCACAGATGCCAGCTCGAGCGTCGTCGTGGGTATGCTGGCCTTCACTGTTGGCAGCGTGTGGTTCGGAACGGCGAACGACAAGCTCGAGAACGCACCCCTTCCAAAGCCTCACCTACCACCGGGCAGGAAGGCTGGGTCGAAAGAGCAGTGAGCTTTGAAGGTTCGGAGGCGTGTAGTTCTTCACGGCTCGTCCTCAGAATCGGAGGGAGGCATTTTCCCGACGGTTGAGTCCTCGTCGTCTTCGTCGTCAAGGCCGCTGTTCTTGCCAAATTCCTTGGGCCTGTTGAGGAAGGGTTTATCAGCAAGCCTGATCACTCGGCTTGACACGGGGCTCCTTGGACACGAGGGCTTAAAGCTCACCAGTAGGGCTGCTTGCGCCAGGCCTTCTCGTCACCGACGACATTGACAATTTCACCCAGGACGCGGCCGTTCAGCTGGTCGGCGTCGTAGCGCTCAGCCAGAACGTAGCCGCCACGCTTGATCCAGATGGTGTTGCGGAATCGCTGGGCGAGCTCGAGCAGAATGTCCTTCTTGTTGGGAAGCAGGCAGGTATAGAGGTTGTTGCCCTCAGCCTTGATGACCTTGGCTACCGACTGATTGGGCTCGAGAGCGCTGGGAGGAGTGGCCGACTCCTCGGCGGCCGCAAGAACATTGCGTTTTACGCGGACCATGATCACTAGCAGGCAGGACCGGTGCGCGAAGCGAATATCCAGCAAGTGGCGTGTTGGACCAGCAAGGCTCAACTAGAAATTTCGTTCGGACCGGAACACGCGATTCAAACTAGCGGGATGGACCCTTCTCTGCGAGACAGACTTTTGGTATGGCGGGGTAGCTCTGTGAAAAGCGCGGGGCAGCTTTTGCGCCTCGCACAATGCATATGACGCTTTTTTGGACACCGGTCGATAAGGGAGACGTGCACATAACCCGAAATGTCTGAAGTGAAATTGCCTTTTCATCTTCACCTCCATCCACTGACTACAACCTCACTTGTGCATCCTCGGAACGGCCGATATGTGCCACAGGAGAAACCAGCACTATACGCAATCTCTCGACAGCTTACCAACTTTGTCACCCCTTGCAGTAATGATCTCTCCGCCGCAGCTGGTGGCAGAGTCATTGATGCGAAAGGAGGTGCGGACTGCCCAAAGAGGGAGTCTCCGCCACGACCCATCCATTCTTAACTGCAAGATCTGGCTGCGAGAGCAGAGCTTGCTGAGCGAGCTATCGGACTCCACATGCCGCTCCCCTTTGACACAAAGTACCAATGAAAGCATCGGGTCACGACCGAACGGTCACTATCACCAGACAACGTGCTCATCGAGCCTGCATGCAGCTCGCCGTCGCCACCATGCGCAGTCTGCATGTCGCACACTTGCCATTCCGGCGTATCATGAGCCATCGGGATACGTGACGACCGGGTCTGATAAGCGGTAAGGCGGATAAGGCCCTGCGACGGCGGCATCCGGTGGTGGAGTGCATCCATTGCCCGGCAGAAGGCTCATAGGTCGGCCGTGGTCCTTCCACAGTCCGCCTCGGGCAAAATTCCCAAGACGAGTCCGGTGGAGGTCCTTGGCGCCCTTTGCAAATCTTCCCCGGAGAGTCATCAGAGGCTACCCTCGTTGTCATCGTGAGATTCACGTGGCCTGGGCTCGACCTTTTTTTTTCTAGTCTTCTGAACATTCCGACTTTGCCTTTGCGCCCCTCGCTCCTTTTAGAAGCTCCGTCTTCTTGTCTGATACTTGAGATCGGTCCTTAACTTTGCCCTCTTCCTCTTTTTCCTGTTCCTGTTCCTGTTACACCAGTGCAGATGCCTCGTATGCCTTAAGGTGCCAATCCTCTACCGAAGCTTCGTCTGCAATGGATTCTTCCCTCTTCAAGTCTCTCGTCGAGGTCGAGTCTCGTGAGGCCTCGGCCGCCGCTGCCTCGCCCAGCGACGGTTTCCCCCCCCCACCCCAGAAGGCTGTCCAACGAACATACCCTGGTGCCCCTTACCGGGGTGACGAGTCCATCGAGCTTCAGAGGCTTCACACCGAGCATGGTGCCAGCCGGCCGTCGTCTCGCCCGGGGACACCACCCTCCTCACCACCGGGCGGGAGCGATCTCGAGATGAGCCGCCCTGGCAGTCCGTCTCAGGATGCGACTGACATTGCCGAGCCCCTTCAAAGCATGTGGGATCCCTACATGAACCGCTGGCGGCTTCTGACTGCCTGTCTGATGAACCTGGGCAACGGTCTCAATGACAGTGCCCCGGGCGCCCTGATCCCTTACATGGAGAAGTGAGATTTGCCTCAAGCCTTGAGAGAGACCTGCATGCCTGACTGACTTGGACAGGCACTACAACATCGGATACGCCGTCGTGTCGCTCATTTTCGTGGGCAATGCCTTGGGCTTCATCTTTGCCGCTGTATTCTTGGACGCTCTGCGCGCACGCATGTCCCGCGCACACCTCCTCGTATTCGGCCAAGCCATCCTCCTGGCGGCGTACATTCCTCTCATCGTCGGGGCCCCCTTCCCGGCCATCATTGTCGGCTTCTTCTTCCTGGGCTTCGCCATGTCCATCAACCTGGCCATGAACAACATCTTCTGCGGCTCCCTGCAAAACGCGACGACGGCTCTCGGTGCCATGCACGGCAGCTACGGCATCGGCGGTACGGTCGGCCCCATCATCGCGACGGCCATTGCGACGTCCGGGAACCCGTGGTACCGATTCTACGTGCTGCCGCTGTCGCTGGCGTTTGGCAACCTCTTCTTCGGCTGGTGGTCGTTTGCTAAGTTTGAGCGCGACCAGCCGCTGACGCTGCAGCCGACGCTCTCGGCGGCGGCACTGGCCGCCAACTCGCAGTTCCTCTCCATGTTCTACGCGCTGCGCATGCGGCTCGTGCTGCTGGGCGCGCTCTTCATCTTTGCCTACCAGGGCGCCGAGGTGTCCATCTCGGGCTGGGTCATCTCATTCCTCATCGCGACGCGCGACGTCGGCGACCCAGGCGCCGTCGGCTACGTCACGGCCGGCTTCTGGGCCGGCATCACGCTCGGCCGTTTCTTGCTGAGCGCGCCGGCGCAGCGCATCGGCGAGAAGCGCTTCGTCTACATTGTCACGGCCGGCGCCGCCTGCTTCCAGCTGCTCGTGTGGCAGGTGCCGAACCTCGTCGGCGCCGCCACGTCGCTCGCCATCGTCGGCTTGCTGCTGGGGCCCATCTACCCCTGCGCCGCCGCCGTCTTCATGCGCGGCATGAGCGGCAAGCACCGTGCCAGCGGCATGGTCGTCATCTCGGCCTTTGGCAGCAGTGGCGGCGCCGTCGCCCCCTTCACCACCGGTCTGCTGGCCCAGGCCTTCGGGACCTGGGTGCTGCACCCCATTGCGCTGGGGCTGTTCGTGTGCATGACGGCCTGCTGGTTCTGGCTGCCGACGCAGAGGAAGCGTAATGAGTAGGGGGACAGGAGCGTGTGTGGTCTTTTTATTTCTTTCGGGAGCAAAAGCAGGGTGGACCAAAGTGAATGGAAATTGCAAGCGGTATTTTTTCGGGAAAGACTGGTCACGGTGTCATGGTGTAGTGGGCTACTTTACTAATTTAACTCTTTCTTTTTCATGCTCTCTCTCCCTCTCTCTTTCTCTCTCTGTATACGCCTGGCGCCACACATGCTACTATGCCAAGTGCTGTGGACGGAAATCTATGGTCTAAAGGAAAAAGAAAAGCCTCCGGATCTAGCATACCGTGTATGTTCAAATAGGTACTAGGTCTTCATGCACATCGTAGTCTCATCGCACCGCGCTCTTCTTCTTCATTTCTTCCCGCTGTGGAAACCGAAAGGGGGACTCGAGAGGTGGCAGGTCTACGTGTGGATGCGGCCGAGGGCAGCGTCCTTATGGGTGAGGGTGCCGGCCTCAATGGCCTCGACCGTCTTGTGGATGGAGGTAAAGTCCTGGAAGGTGACAAAGGGGACGCTCTCGCGCTCGCAGTAGGTGACGAGGTCCTTGCCGGCCTTGGCGAAGAGGAGGTCGGTCTCGCGGGCGGCGGAGAGGTCGGAGACGCCGTCGCCGGCGTAGAGCATGATGGGGCGGTCGGCGTGGGCCGAGTACTTGCGGATCTCCATCGACTTGTCGTGGCCAAAGGGCGTGTCGTCGTGGTAGACGATGCGCCAGCCGGCCTCGTCGTTGATGGACTTGCCCTCGCGCGGGGCGACGTCGTTGCTGACGATCTGGATGTACGAGGCCTCGTCGCCGAGCCACATCTCGAGCAGCGAGCGGATGACGGGCCGCATGCCGCCGGAGAGGATGACGATGGGCACGTTGTTGGCGCGGCACCAGTGGAAAAAGTCGCGGAAGCCGGGGTCGAGCTTGATGTTGGCGCGCAGCGTGGCGATGCACTGGTCAAAGGGCAGCTTGATCGAGTCCATCATGCCCTGGAAGGCCTCGCGGAACGTCTTGCGGCCGTAGAGGATGTGGTCGTTCTCGACGAGGCGCAGCTCGCGGCCGTAGCCGAGCTCTTCCGTCATGAAGTCATTGGAGTCCTTGATCGAGATGGTGCCGTCAAAGTCGGTGAAGAAGATGATCTTGGGGTTGGTGGCGAGCGCCGGGGTATCGCTGTTGGAGACGGAGCCCATCGTGACGGTTATGGTGTTGTTGCGGTAGGGTAGCAGGGAGGTAGGTCAGGTAAGGTATGGAAGTAGGGCAGTAAGGATGTATGGTTTGAGGAGAGAGCAGGTAGGTAGACGATGGGAGAGGGACCGACCGACGATCGTCAAGTACGGGCAGCCCCTAAAGGTTTATGTCCGGCCAAGTGACGAGCGAGGCGCGGCAGAGATTTAATACTATGGAGAAGGATCCAAGGTACCTGATACCTGAACCTGACCTAGGTACCCTGAACGTGATGAACCTCAACCGTTTCGTTTGTCACTCGGACGGCGCAGGTTCGCTCCCTCCACCCCTCCCCTCAACGACAATCTCTTCAGACATCAACGACCCAAGACACGGCGGGCTTCACACCAGATGCCCGCTGTCCGGGTCTCAGCCTGAATCGTCCCGCATCCAGGGGATCCAATCCAGCCTGCGATGCGTTGTTTTGTTGCCCCTCATGCCATGGCAGTGTGAAAAGGTGCCCCTCCACTGCAGCGTCATTGCCCCTCTTCAGGGCCTTTTAGCGCCGTCGGACCCCCCTGCAGGAGGGGACCTGTAGCGCTCGCTGGCCCCCTCCGAACCTGCCTGGTGTCACCCCCTTAATCGAATGCCCTACGGTGCCCTGTGGAGCCCCGTGTGTGGCCCTGTCCCGCCTTGTGAGGCCCGCTGTAGATGCACGCCGAGACGCACAGAAACCTGCCGAGCCTCCACTGTGACAATGGACAGGGGCCCACAGGCTGCCTCTCACCGACCCCGTCGGAACCCGGTCGGTCGGTGCGTGCGCCGACGCCGGATCGTTGTGTTCACGAAGAAGGCGGTGAGTACTCTCAGTCCGGCAGAAAATCAATCGAGGTCCAACAACGCGGCTCGGCTGTTCGTTCAAGTGTCGATGCTTTGGTTGGGGTTTGAGCTTCGTCCAGACTGTGTGCTTGGTCTGAAGTACCACAACTGCCTGACTGAGGACGCCTCTCGGTTCGGTGTGTCATTATTTTGGGGGCACACTACTTCGTCTGAAATAACAAAGTCAGCTTTGCATCCGCCCTGCAGCATCAGCAACAGCAGCAACGACATCCACCACCATGCAGTCACTGCCACTGGCGAGGCCTGCATCATGGCGCCTCATGAGCCAGCTGGCCCGCCCCTCCCCGACACAATTGGCGGCACGACGACATCTCCAACTAGCTAGCTCCCTCACTTGGCAGCTTCTCCGTCCTTCTTCCCCATCTTCTCGACTCTACTCTTCTTCGAACTCTCCTCCACCACCTCCTCCCCCTTCTCCGCCGCCGAAGCCTTCCGAATCCGAATCAAACCCCGACTCTACAAAATCCAGCTCGGAGCCTCTCATCGAGTCCAGGCCAGACCCGGTTACAACAAATTCCCCACAGCCCTTCCTGCGGGACGGCTCGTTACCAAAGTCCGAAAGCACCACAAGCAGACCGTCATCCTCCCCCTCCTCAAATGATGCGTCCTCTCCATGTTCCTCCGACGCGCCCCCCTCCTCCCGGACGCCGTCCCCGTTCGACCAGCTCTCCTCGCGCGTCCAGTCGAGCCAGCTGCTGACGACGACGATCCCCCGCCTCATCGACACGCTGCAGGTCCGCCTCCTGACGGCCTCGCAGACCCTCAACGATCTGACGGGCTACACATCGATCGAGCGCATCAAGACGCAGAACGAGGCGCTCGAGACGTCGCTCGCCGCAGCCCACCAGCGCCTGCGGGCCACGCGCCAGTCTTACAAGAACGCGACGGGCGACCGCGCCGCGACGCAGCGCGAGACGACGACGCTGCTCGCGCGGAAAGAGTCGTGGGTGCCGCAGGACCTTGAGCGCTTCACCGAGCTCTACCGCCGCGACCACACGCTCGAGCAGGAGGTCGCCCGCGCCAGCGAGGCCCTCGCCGAGGCCGAGGCCGAGGAGCAGCGCCTCAGCCAGGCCCTCATGGCCGGCATGCTGCGCCGCTACCACGAGGAGCAGATCTGGAGCGACCGCATCCGCCGCGCCAGCACATGGGGCACCTGGGGCCTCATGGGCGTCAACGTCCTCCTCTTCATCGTCCTGCAGCTCTTCGCCGAGCCCTGGCGCCGCCGCAGGCTCGTCCGCGCCGTCGTCGCCGAAGAGAAGTCCGTCCTCGAGAGCGTCAGGGACGAGCTTGCTGCCGTCAAGGGCCTCCTCGCCGGCACGCAGCGGGAGCGGGACGGCGACGCCTTTGCGGCGGCGGACGCGGACCGTCGTCTCGGCGAATCGGCTGGGACACCAGGACCTTTGGTCGGCGCAGATGTCGAGCCGACAGCCGAGGGCACTCTCGCAGCAGCGGAAGCTGCGGGCATGGCGGTGCCCGAGACGGCAGAGCCGCCCGTTGCGGAACTAGAGGCGGAACCAGAAGCGGACATGACACCCCCGCAATCTACCACCTGGAAGGCCTTCCTCTCTGAACCCGCGTTGTGGAGAGACCGAGCAGAAGACTTGTATAGCGAGCGCAGAATCGACCTGCGCATGCGGGATGCATCGATCCTGGCACTCCAAGGCGCTGCAGCCGGTGCCGCCGTCGCCTCCGGCGTCGTCTTCATGCTCCTGAGGCGGACGTAGGGGCCTCCCTTGTACAAATGCTGTAAGATACCTTGTATACAGAATATAGATCCCCACAAAACAATACACCCTCGCAAGGCACTTGAAGCACATATCGCACTTGTACACTACGTGAAACCGCAACGCTCTTTATTAACGGGTGTGCAATTCGCTATGCCGCGATCTGCCAGCGACCTTCGGTCATGGCCCACCCTCCATCACAACCAGATTCAGATAGGACATCCGGCAGAGCTTGCGCCGAGGACGTCCGAGCCTGATGGCATCGCTGAAAGTGTAGAAAACCAACATGGTCTCCCAGACTCACTTAGTGAGGCTATGAGCCTCAACTGAGGCATCGCTGAAACATAGCCGGATGGTCATCCGGCTGCTGATGTCGAGTCTTGTCGACACTAGACCCCCCCCTCCCGCCTTGCGCCCGCCCGCCCGCCTATCCTCACCCCTCTTTTAGTCATCTATCATGTCCTCGCTCGCTGCATGCTTCACTCAAAGTCGGCAGTGTAGGAGAATCCGCGGAATTCCTCCTGCATTGCTTGCGACAGAACTGAAAGACAAGGTCAGCAGGGGTTGGTCATACTTGGGAAGCATAAATAACATACCAGACTGAACGGGGGTAAGCACTGGCGTGACGCTCGTGAATTCCGAATCAAAGTTGCTGGTGTCGGTGGCGCTCTTGATGCTCGGCAGGAAGGGCGGGGGCACACGCTTGTGGTAAATGTCATCCCAGCTAATGTTCCGGAAGAAAGGCTGGTTCATGATCTCCTGGGCATCGGTCGGGCCGCTGCCGAGACGCTGATCGGGCTCGCGGGTGAGGAGCTTCTGGAGAATAGACACGCTGTCTCTAGGCATGTGGATCGGGTACAGTGGCTCGTCCGCAAGAATGGCGTCGTAGATTTCGTCCTCGTCCTCGCCGCGGAAAGGCGACTGCTGTAGCAGCATTTGGTAGATCAAGACGCCGAAAGCCCACCAATCAACTGCGCGACCATACTTTTTGTCCAGCAGAATCTGGCGCAGGGATTAGTATATGCTCCTTAATCAAGCCCAGCATGATGGTTTCATACCTCTGGGGCCATAAACTCAGGCGTTCCGCAGAATGTGCTCGTGTTGGAGCCGAACCACATGTCCTCTTTGCAAAGACCGTAGTCAGCAATCTTGATGTGACCATCGAGTGTCAACAGGATGTTGTCCAGTTTCAAGTCACGGTAGATGACTCCGTTCTCGTGGAAGTACTTAAGTGCCAGGCACACCTCGGCCGCATAGAATCTATCGTGCGTTAGTTGCTAAACCTGCCTAAACTGAACCACCGACTTACTGGGCACGCTTGGTGCCGAATTGGCCGCGTTGAATGTGTAGCATAAGATCGCCACCGCTGACGTATTCCATGACGAAGTATACCCTGGTTTCCGTTTGGAAACACGCGTGAAGGTTAGTCAAGAACGGATGACGTTCCCTGTTGGCGATCAGGAACACTCGCTTCTCTGATCGGATACTTTCAACCTCATCATTTTCAATAATGAACTCCTTCTTCAGGACCTTAATCGCGTACAAACGTTTCGACCTCTTGGTCTCCGCCAGCATGACCTTGCCAAAGTTACCTTTACCAAGGACAGCAAGGAAGTTGAAGTGGTCTAGGCCAATGCGCTGTCCTGTTCCAGGGTCTGTGGCCGATGGCAACGGCTTGCGCCCACCGCTTGTGGTAAGCGGGCCAGCGGAGGTGGGCGACGTCGGGGACGGCTCGGGTACAGAAGGCTTGCTGATAGGCGCTGCTGGCTGTTGGTATGGAGCTGCCTGCTGCTGTTGTTGGTGCTGCTGATGCTGCGGCTGGTGCTGCTGGGGAGTGACCTGATGTGGTGGTACTTGGGGTTGCTGCTGCTGCTGCTGCTGGACCGGGCGGCTTGCCTGCTGAGGCTGGCCTGAGTAGGAGTTGACCTTGGCGTAGTCTGCAGGGTTGTATGGACGCTGCTGAGATCCGTACTGGTTGTAAGGGTCATCTTGTTGTTGATCAGGCGAGGTGGGGTAGCCGCTGCTGTAGCGACCATAGTCCTGCGACTGGCTCTGCCGGCCGGTAGTGACTGTCGAGCCACTCATGGCGGCGGAAGCCGCAGCTGCTGCAGCTTGGCTGGACGAAGTCCGATCAGGCTGGGGCGGTCTTTGCGACGTCTGCTGTTGGTACATGATCTTGGCGGCTTCTGTTGCTTCAGCCGAGCCTGTAGAGTATGATGGCGCATGTCCACCACTGACGAGCGTGGACGAACTCATACTACTAGTAGGACTCGTGCGTCCAGTGCCCCGCAGAGTACGTTCGCTCAAGGAAGTCGCCTTCTGCTTATTGATCTGCTTTGTCGTTCTGATGCCCTCAAGAATCTGATTAGCCACAGCCATAGACATGCCGCAAAAGTCTGGCACAAGGTGAACGCATTGCGCGTGAGCTGTGGAGCCGCACTCCGAACATTTGCGACAGTTCTTCTTGCCGAAGGGCAAGATGTAGCCACAGTGGCAGCACCAGTTGGCGTTCATGTTCGAATAAGGCTGGAATCTGTGGGGGATGCGATGGTTGATCTTCTCCTCGTCCGGATCCGTCTCGGCGTTGCTCTTGCTGATACATTTGGTGACAACGCTGGTATAGCACTTAGTGTGGCAAGTATACTTGCAGTCCTCGCACTGCATACCGGCAGAATACTTCAGGAAGTCGCCGCACAGAGCACAGCGCATAATGTTGTAGAACTGGTGCTGGACAAATTTGTGGCCGTACATTTCGTGGACCTCCTCCTTGCGCTGCCTAATGGCACCCTTGCGACCAAGACCCAGATCGACGGTGCGGCGTTCCTTATTCTGCTTGACGAATCCAAGAGACAGGCGAATTTGGCCAGCCGGCTCAAGGTTGAACCAGCCATCGATGGGCTGCTGTGCAACCTGACTGGGAGGCGGGAGCGGTGCCTGGCCCTGAGGGCTCATGGGCTGCGAGGCGTACGCTCCCGGGGAGCCTGGAGGCCCCCCAAGTGAAGGTGTTTGCGGCTGCTGCGGGCTCATGGGAAACTGGCTGGGCGGGGCGCCCATTCTGTCGGCTGACACCCATCCAGAGCTGTTAATCTCAGCCTCAATCCTCTTCCTTCGCATCTCCTCGGCGATATCAGATATCCTGACCCAGAGCATGGCAATCGGTAGGGCGTGCTCGCCAGGCTTGTCGTAGACAGTGAGTTCAATTTCATTGGCCTTGTCGACATCAATGTTGAAGTACTCTGCTTCCCATCTATCATTTCGAGAGATCCGGGTCCGGGCGACAACGTTGTCCTCCACCTTGATGGCAACGAAGGTCTCCGGCCCGCGGCTGAATCGTCCAGTGGATGCGTGGTCGACATCCTTAATGAGTGCTACGCGGATAGAGAGCTGACCAGTCAAGGGCTTTCGCAGGTTGGGCATGTTGATGGAATCATCTGAGGGTCATGTTAGTTAGCTTCGTCCCGACACAAAAAACTCAGCGATCATGTGCTCACCGTCGTGATCATCGGAGCCCACAACATCAGCCACGTGAAGTTCCTCGTAGCGTTTGAGGGCCTGCTTCAGCAAAAGAATCTTTTGCTTGCTCTCGACCCTACGAGCCGAAGCATCTGCTCTGCTCTTCCTGTCGCCCTCCATGCCATACAGCTGCACCATCTTCTCGACACCCTTCAGGTATTGTTCTTCAACCTTGAGCTTGAACTGAATCTGAGAAAGCATGAGCTGAATTCGTGGTCCCAGGTACGGATTGTCGTATTTGATCAGATCTGGATACCTTTTGTTAGTCTATCTCTACAAAATGGCAGACATGACGGTCTTCATCGTATGATAGGTTTGTACAGGGAGACAAACCAAGCTTGGTGTAGTTGGGTCGAGGCTTGGGCACAGATGATGCCGGGCCTGGGGGAGCATAGGGATGGCGAGGCGGCATGAGGTCGCCGTGCTGACCGATTTGGCTGTACTGGGTAGAACCGAAGGAGGCACTGCTGCCGGCGCGAGCATGTTCTCCCCACGAACCGGCATCCTTTGGCGGCGGCGGAGGAGGACCCGAGCCGTCGCCCTCAGCTCCATCGTCAGGTCCACCCAGCGACATACTATCCATGGCGGACTGGTTGCGGCGCATCTGCAGTTCCCGCAGCTTTTCTTCAAAGAATTGAAGGTTTCGGCGAGTATCTCGCAGTTGGGAGTTGAGTCTTGATCGGACAGAGTCATTGTCGGTCTGGGCCAGCATGGCGTTGGCGCCATTCATCAGGACCTTTTCGCGCTCAATCTTTTTGAGAATGTTCTGAATCGCCTCTTCGTCACTCATGGTGGGCAAAAGGGTTGCGCGTAGCCACGCGCGGGGTCAAAGCTGTCGATATAGGTCGGTAAGGACAAGTGCCTTCAGTGGTCAAGGCTGCGAGGTCTATATGCAGCCTATGTCTGTCGTTCGAGGGGTTTGTTGGCGCGTTTTGCTCGTCTGGTGTATCAACTCGCATCGACGCCGTCACCCCGTACCACTATTGCCTCGACAGGGTTGTCCTGGGTAATATGTCGAAGGTGATACTCCTGTGGATGTCGAATAAAGCAGCAATGAGGCCGGCTCGTAGTCGTGCTACTAGAGGCTAGGAAGCACGAGACAGTAGGTGAGGTCGAAGCCGTGTGGCAGATCACAACAAATGTTGCGTGTGTTGGTGGTGCGAGATGCAAGAGAGGGGTGGGGGGGGGGAGGTCGGATAAACGTAGCTCATTGATCAGTGGGAGGAGCAAAGCGGGGTGGGCAGGCCCATGTCTGGTTTCGCGCTGCAGATGAGGTGGGATGGGCACGGGCATGGAGGGGGGCTCGGCCACTGACTTGCCAGAGCCCATGGGAAGGACAAATGGGAATTTGCCCTGGCAGCTGGACAGGCCTTGCCTCGGGCAGGTACAGGGGTGGCATGCTCTTCGATGCCTGACGTGCCCTGCTTCTGCGAAGGTGGGCTGAAGATACTGATCCCCGGTAGGGCACTGGTCGCTGATGTTCGGCAGATTGGGTGTCCCTTACAGCGTCCGTGCCCGCTATAAGGCCTCCCTGGCTCATACCTGCTTTAGGCGTCCTCCGTGGGCTTCCACTTTGTGATGGCGTCAGAGGCTGCTCGGCCACCACGCATGGCGCGAACCAAAGCACCTCTTTCACGTTGACATCCGCCATATATCCTGTTCGCCGCGTCCTTGCCATCTTTCAGTGTGATATCTAACGCTCTCGACTGCAGTTCGCCTAGCAGCCAAGCATAACTGACTGCACAGCATGCAGAATGTTCGCCAGAACGGACAAATAAACCCCTTCCGAGGCTTGTCCGGTTCTTACTCTTGTAGGACACTCACTGTCTCAGACTACCTTGGTCCTGGCGTCGTCATTGGTGACTGATCCGACCGCAGCACAGGCGCCCGTCTGACTACCGAAAGTCCTAGATCCCCACGCCAGAGCAACGAAAACCCACTCAGCGCCCTTTAGGACTGGCCTCAAGGCTCTCCGCACACACCACCACCACCATAAGATGCAAGGCGTAGAGCTGCAACGCGCCACAAGAGGGGCACTGATGCTTCGAGAGCTGTGTCCGTCCTTCCTGATGTGCGTCGCGGTGAGTGTGATTGTGCCCTACGCAGCCTGACACACACATGTCACATATCATGCCTGCCTATCATCTTCATACGCCGGACACCTCGGGGGTTGTCCACCACAACCACATTCCAGCCAGGCCGAGAGTTCAACTAGGTAGGGGTGCACAGGGACATTCATGGAGGAACGCTCCAGAACAGTGCCCTACGCCATAATGACAGTTGTCCGCTAGCTTTGGTAGGGCGCTGTGGTTTTGGCCACCTTCCTTCACGTGTGTGCAGGTCTCGCACATGAAGAGATACGATGTCGAGTCAACTGCAAATCGGACAGAAAAGAGACGAACAGGCATGGGTGCCGCGTCATCATCCGAGCCTCTACAGTCCGGTGCGTAGACGATCTTATTTCCGCTGTCTATACATAACCGCTTAGCGAAGAGCCCACCCGAATGCTGCTCAACAGGGCCTCCGGGGCATGTAGATCCCTCGTGCCTGAGCTCGTATCGACAAAGGATCGTTGGCCAGCGGTCGATCTCCAATGAAGATAGTGTACTTCAAGTCGCAATTGGCGTTTATCCGGACAACCCTCCTAGAGTCGCTAAGCTGACTCTATTGTAAAGGAAAGTGAGAACACAAAAGGCGAACCACATTGCTGCTGCGCCCAGGTATCTACGAGCTGAGGTGATCGGCAGGTCTTCCAAGTTAGAAAAAGTTCTCGTCGGTCTAGCTCCCCAATTTTTCAAGCCCCTCCTCCCAAGGTTGGGCATCAAATTTGAATCATCTAGGACAATCTGGACACTGGCCGCATCTAACCCTATTGTCAAAAACTGTCCCAGAGTGTCGACTGAGGCTACAGTGTTTGGTTCAATTTGAGACACGTGATGTGAAGAGGGAGTTGACAACCCGAGTCTCACAGATCAAGGGTATGATCATGACAAACTAGAGTCTACGCTTACCACCTATCTGAAGTGAATCCTTAATGCCAAGCCAGCGCCCTGAGATTAAGATTTGAACCAGCTTTTCTTTTATTCTATTTGACGCGTTACGATGCCATCTGCTCATGCAGTGTACTCTTTCTGCAGCAGCTTGGCGATCGTGTTAAGCTGGATGTTGCTCGTGCCCTCATAGATGGCGCCGATCTTGCTGTCCCTCCAGAACTTCTCCGCGGGGCCGTCGCGCACGAAACCCATACCACCCATCCACTCAATTGCGAGGCCGCTGACACGTCCAGCGACCTGCGAGGCATAGAGTTTGGCCATGGCGGCATCCATGACAAAGTCCTCACCGGCCTCCTTCTTGCGGGCCGCGTTGTAGACCAGGGACCTGGCGGCGGCGATCTCGGTGTAAGACTGCGCGATCTGGTGCTGCATGCCCTGGAACTCGCCGACGAGCTTGCCAAACTGCTTTCTGTCGTTCCAAACGTACCTGCACATGTTAGACTGAACCCACTCGCTTGCTCGATTGTGACGGGACTTACTTGACAGCGTTCTCCCACGACCCAAGGGCCAGGCCGGTCATCTGCGCGGCAATACCAATGCGGCCCTCGTTGAGCAGGCTGATGGCATACTTGTAGCCCTGTCCCTTCTCACCAAGAAGGTTCTCCTTGGGGATCTTCACGTCGTCAAGGTTGATGACGCAGGTGCTGCTGGCCTTGATACCGAGCTTCTTCTCCTTCTTGGCAATGGAGAAGCCCTCGGTGCCCTTCTCAACGACAAACGCAGTGATGCCCTTGTAGCCCTTGCTGTGGTCCAGGTTGGCAAAGACGATGAAGAAGTCGGCCTCCATCGAGTTGGTGATCCACATCTTGCCACCGCTGATGGTGTAGCCATCCGCCGTCTCCGTTGCCTTGGTAGCCATGGCAAAAGCATCAGAGCCACTGACGGGCTCGCTGAGGCAGAAGCTGCCGACAGTGTTCGTCGCCAGCTTGGGCAGGAACTTCTTCTTCAGCGCCTGTGAGCCGTACTTGATAATGGCCGTGTTGACGAGTGTGTTGTGGACATCGACCATGACGCTGACACTAGGATCCACGCGGGCCAACTCCTCGATGCCAATGACGGCGGACGTGAAGTTGGCGCCCGTGCCGCCGTACTCCTCGGGGATCTCAATGCCCATGAGGCCCTGCTCGAACAGCTGCTCGACCACGGTGGGATCCATCTTCTCGGCCTCATCCATTTCACGGACCTTGGGGCCAATAACCTCATTGGCGAACTTGTTCACAGACTCGGCCATGGCGAGCTCCAGCTCGGAGAAGTGTGTGATGGGAGTGGGAGGAATGTCGGTAATGTCGAGAGTGTCGGCATTCTGGCGGCGTGACGTCGTGGACAGGGGCTTCGAGGACCTATACAGATGTAAGTTGATAGCTGAACTATCGAGAATAAAAAAGACCTACTGCTGGATGAAAGGCATCGCCGCCCTGGCGGGGGCGTTGCTCCTCGCCGCGGCCATGGCCATGACGCCGCGACTCCTCCGCATGGCGGGGCGAACAACCCGTGTAAGTGAAGACATGGTGAGCCTCGGTACTTGTGAATGAGGATGGGGGTTGGGATTCCGAGCTTGCTGATCAAGTGGTCAGAGATTGGCAGGGAGGTGAATTCAAAGTGAAGTGCTAAAGTTGGGCCGTGACTGTGACAGCACTGAAAGATGGACGGAGAGACAAAGTCTAGGTGATCATCGCCAGCACCGAGGGCCCCTTCAATGCCGCCCCATGCCTTGGGGCGATCGTCTTCAGCCGAGGATATCCATCCCTGTGGTACCCCCGGCTGGGCAAGCTCGCAGCATTAAATCCGGCGTTTATCCGGGAACGACGATATTGCTGACTCGACATGTGACGGCCTGGAGTCAAGAAGGTTCATGTCACGTGTAATTATGTAATGTTACAATTTGGAGGATTGAGATCTGAAGGCGCGAAGCTCGAAAGCATCGCATCAAACCATTGAGAGCCAGCCAATCCATCATTGCCAGCACTCTATGATGGCGAGCTCCCTTTTCAGTCGGCTTTTGGCGCCAACGCTGCGCAGGGCGCAGTTTGCCGCACCTTTTTCTCCCACCTCGATCCTCGCCAGGCCGGCCTTCCAAGCCAGGGCTTTCTCCTCAACACCTGTTCAGAATGCGACGATAGGGCAGGTCCTGCGGGTTTGTAACGCCATTCCCCATCTTTCCGACATTGACTGACCTAAGTGATAGGGTTGCCGCAAAGGCAAACGCGCTCGTCACGCCGTCTCTCCCGCTCTCGCGGATGTCGAAGCCCCGGCTCTCAAGGGCGTATGCATCAAGGTCGGCATTGTGCGTCCAAAGAAGCCCAACTCGGGCCAACGCAAGACGGCTCGTGTGCGTCTCTCGAACGGTCGACAGGTTACCGCCTACATCTCTGGTGAAGGACACAACATTCAGCAGCACAGCGTTGTTCTCGTGCGCGGCGGAAGAAGTCAGGATTGCCCGGGTGTGCGATACCACCTCGTCCGTGGCGCATTGGACCTTGGAGGTGTTGCAAACCGTGTTAGTAGTCGCAGTAAGTACGGCACGGCTAGGCCAAAGAAGGCTGTTGTGGGTTGAAATGCACGATGGTACAGTACGAGTGGGCAAGCAGCTGTTGCTTGCCAAGACGGAGAGCTGTTGAAAATGGTGTGTACTTTATTGTAAAACAGTTCACAAGTGGCATGGCGAATACTTGATTGATCCCAAATGGCATTTCCTTGTTGCATTGGCAAGCGAGCAAATGTCCAAAACCGAAAAGAAGCCTTGACGCCGTTCCACGGTGAAGCACCCCTGATCCGCGCACTAATTCAACCCATCACTTGGTGAATAGGTCTGGGTGGTGAGGCCCAAAAATCATGATCTCGCACCTTTCGTACAGCTAGTCTATTTCCCCGATATGCTACTATTTTCTTAATCCTTCTGGTTCTCATAGCCCTCGGGCTTCGTCTTCCCATTGATATCGAAGTAGCGGCTCGTGCCTGCATTTTATTAGCATTCAGCCCTGATCGGTGGATTGACGTCAACACTTACAAGAGTAGCCCTTCCAGTCAAAGTTGTCCTTAGGGTTGCAGTGACAGCGGAGGTCTTGTCGTGTCTTCTCCCCCGTGGGGCAGTGAGTGAAGGGAACGTGGTAGTAGGCGATGTCGTTGAAGAAGTGAATCTGGTCCTTGGGAAGCATGATGCCTGCGGCGATGGAGTGGACAGGAGCGTCGCCCCAGCGTTCGTAAAAGAAACCACCGTCCTTGTCCAGAGACTCAAAGTAGTCAACGTAGGCCTTAGAGCGAAGCCAGTTCAGGTTACCAATCTCAAAGTTGGACCACTGTAAACGGGTTAACATTATGAAGCTTTTACGGCATACGAATGATCAATACTTACGAAGTGGCAGTTGTTGTAGGTGTCGCCGTTGTCGTCACTCAGGAATCCCATGGAGTTATCGGCGGCAATGTGTTCGGGATGGTTCTTCATGAACTTCTTGGTCGAGTCCCACAACGTGGCAATGGTCTCCTTGTACTCGTACAAACTCAGGACGAAGCTGTACTTGCGGTTGTTCTCCTTCATGACGCGGAAGGGGTCATAGTGGATGTCGCAGAAGAGCTCAATCGAGGGCTCGACTCGCCAGTAGTACTCGTAGTTCATCATGAGCGGCTGGCGGAAGAAGAAGCCAGACTCGAAACGGCACATGTGGCGGTAGCTGACGGAATCGCCGTAGATGATCTTGCGCTGGGCCATGTCCTCGCGCACCTTCTTGGCCTTGTCCTGGTCGATCCACTCAGGGAAAGACCAGTGCTCCTTGGGGATTTCGCCATAGTGAGTTTTTCCAGAAACAAGCGATGTCGTGACCTTCTTGAAGGTCTCGTCGAAAGGCTTGTCGTTCAGGAAGACCCAGTCGTAGTTGTAGCGGCGGTTGAAGCGATCCTCGACCTGACGAATGGAGCGAGCGATGTCCCAAACATCGCTGTTCCTCGCAAGGGTCACAAAGGTGGCGTTGACACGAGGCCCAGGGGCAGTGCCAACAATGTCGTTCCAACCAGGGTCACCGGGGCTCATAGCCATCGGGAACTCCTTGGGATCGTAGTCGTTGACGATCGCTGGTCGCTCAGCGGGCGGGGTCGCAGGCTTCACAGCAACAGGGGCAGCGTCCTGCTTCTCGCCAGCCGCAGGCGCTGCAGGTTGTACTCCTCCTGGTGCAGTGCCGGAAAAGGTGCCATCTTGGAGACGAACACCCTCGTAGCTCGAGTGGGTAATGAAGTAAACGATGGCGAGGCCCTATGGAAGAGTGGTAAGCGATGGACCTTGCCTCAAGGACACGCGCATCACGCCTCCCCTTGTCTTGTGATGGATTTGACAGACGCGTGGCAGCGGCACTGCCAATCCGGGGAGCACTTACGAAAAAGGCAAAGAGGATGTATCGCACGTAGCGCGCTGAGCCTGCCACCATGATGACTGACTTCAACGCGAACGGATGGTAAGAAACGTAAAACGAAGAAAGTGGTCAATCTCGAATGGATTGTTGAAGGAGGGAAAGAACGAAAGGCGATGGGATGATACAGGTGGCCTCCCTAGAGATGTAGGGGAGACGGCGGAGAAAAGTGGTCGACCCAGTTGGGCTTTACGGGAGACGAGTCGAGGGACCAGTGGACGAATACGAAAGTTCAGCCCGGCGATGGTACGTGCTAATTACGTAGGTACTTGAATTCAGGGGTAGGAAGGCCTTGTGCCGAGTACCTTTTTCTGTCTCTGACAACGCGCGCTCCTTACCTGGATGCAGGAATGCGGAAGAGCATGATAGGGGGATGCTCAGGAGAGTGGGGGGGCAATCTAGGGGGCACGAACATGGCCAGTGGGTATTCCTTGCATCCCGACGGTACTGGCACGCTGGTGCTTTTGGGAGGCGCTGACGTGGAACGCTGGATGACCATCGCTTATCTTATCAACTGCCGTTAAAGACGCTTGCGACAAACGACGACACCTCAAACTCAGAGGGAGGCTGACAGTGGCATTGGCGATTCAGTGTAGAGTGAATCATAGCACCTGAGCGTCTCGGACGCCAGGTATTCATGGACTCTCAAATGAGATATGCGAACCTGTAAGAATGATCATCTCAAGCGGTCGCGAATATGTGCTGGCTCGGAATAACTCAACACCTGACTGACAAGCACCCGTTGTACCTATTCCACGACAGAGAGAGTACAAAACCGCCCCTCAGTATGCATCACGTGACTATGAGACCCACGGGTGTCGAGCATGGTGTTTACCGCTCTGTGATTGGTCCGGATGATCCCTGGAGAAGATCGGAGGCTCAGGACCACACGTCTTCGTTGGCGTCGAAGTGGTGCATCACCATGTTTTTGGCATCGACTGCACGCATCGACGTCGTTGAATTTACTTCTTGTCTCGAGCCGACCCTGGTGCTTCGGCGCATTTTCTTCGGGAGATCTCTCGCCATTCATTTTGCTTTGCGAATGCGACCAGATTAGCTTGCAATAGCTCTGATCCCTGCCGAGATCCCTCGCGCCTTCGATCTAGTCGACCTTGCGACATCATCATGATAGGGTTGAGAACCGTGCTGCCGAATACCACCGACCCCTCATTCTCTTAGTGGTGAGTACAAGCACTTTCATCATCATCTGTATCTTGCCTTCCCTCTCGGCATATTTCCTATCTCTATGGGCTCTTGCCCCTCGCTTGCTGTTATTTCGACAACTAGGTTGCGAGCTGGTTTCGTAACACGCCTTCGGGGTTCCAACAGCTGTGGTTGACGGGCTTCCTACCTTTCAATCCTGCGAGGCAAAAGAGCCCGTTTTTCTTTCCTTGAATTCAGCACAGGGGAAACTGCAGCGACGTTCGAGGCCTGATTACTGTACTCCTGCTTGTCTATCGTTTTGCAAGCTTTCAGACAGAGCCCACACTGACGTGTTCGGTCATAGTGCTACTTGACCCCTCTTCTCGAAAGACATCACACTGAAAGCCATCATGTCTTTCTTCGGTTTCGATGCGACGCGCCACAACAATGCGGCCCCGGGCTTTTCTCAGGCCCACGACCCCTTCGCCGGCTTGTCTCATCGCACCGGCGACAATGACGATGCTATGGACTTCGAAGATACCTACGACGGACTAGGTGACCAACTTGACGAAAGTGGCGATGCCTTCAATGACGATACCTTTGGCGGAGGGCTTGAGGACAGCGGTCCCACCAACAGGGGGGGCGCGCCCTCTGTTGGCAAGGATTTTGACTTTTTTGGTCAGACTGCCAAGGTGTCTGATGCCATTGAGGAGGAACAAGTCCTTTTCAGTCGTCAAGGCCCTGCACCTCGAGCACCTCAGGCGCCTGCAGATTACCATTCGTCTGCCATTGCTCCTGGTATCTACTACTCTAGCCAGCCCAGTCAATCTTACGGCACCCCTGCCCGAACTGGCTACGAGAAATATCGCGAAGCTGAGCCAATTCCCGATCTTCATGTCGATGCCTCGCTTTGGGGAATGCCCGCCAAGAAGTTCGCGCCCACGCCCTCTCCACAGCCGGCGTACCAGCCCTCTCCCGTCCCAGCATCTGGACGGAAGGTCATGAGCCTGGAGGAGGTTGAGAAGGCGATGCGCGAGCAAACAACAGTGCCTGGACAGCACGCTGGTGTCGAAAATGTTCACCACCCGCAGCACTATGCTGCCGATCACAGCGACTTCTACGGACACCCAGAACATGCTCAACACCAGTATTCGTACTCTGCAGCCGAACAGCAGCGTGCGACCCATTCTCCTGCCCACCCCGGCCATAGCCACCCTGTTACCATCCTCCAGCGCCCTCAGTCAAAGCAGCCTACCCCTAGTGCCCCGAGCCCGCAAGCTCGGCAGCAACAGCAGCAGCCCCCGCCTGTCCACCCGACCCAGATTCTCCAGAACCCGAACCGACTTTCTGGTGACGCCGCCCGCATCGGTGTCCCTACTCACCCTACGCATCGGTCTCAGGGTTCCATGGGCCGCAGCCAACAGGCTCAGACCCAAGCGCAAGCCCAGGCCCAGCAGCAGCACTTGGCTCACTTGTCTGAAGAGGAAAAGGCAGCATTCCTCGACCAAGAGACGAAGCGAGCCAAACGTAACCACAAGATCTGGCTCCTGTCTAAGGATAATGGTCTCATGACGCCGCAGGACAAGAACTTCATCACTCGTATTCAGCTACAGCAGCTTGTATCCGCAACTGGAAACCCCACGGATGTTGCGAACGAAGGTGCCCTAGCTGAGGACTTTTATTACCAGGTTCTCAGCCAGATCCGCGGCGGGCAACGTCAGAACCCCAACCAGCCGTTGAACAACTTTGCGCAAACCTATCTCTTCCAGACTGGCAGCCGCCAAGGTGCGATGCGTCGACAGGGTCGTGCCGCTGAGAACCATGTGCAGCGAATGGAGCAACAGGTGCAGCGGGCTGTTGAAGCGGCAAAGAACAAGCCCAAGAACCCTCAGTTGGTCATCGCTGGCAGCCTTGGCAAGATCTCCTTCAGCAACTCTAAGACGCCGAAGCCTCTCCTAAACATCAAGCGAACGGAGAGCTCGGGTGAGACTCAGAAGCCGAGCAACGCAAAGCGCGCCCTCGGCGGCGGCGCCCTCGACCGTAAGGCCATTCTCAGGAACGTTGAGCGTGTCTACAGCACGATTATGCAAATGGAGGACCATGCTCGCCATGCTCCTCCACCTCCCAACGATGGAAACGACGAGGATTTCCATGTTAAACATCAGGAATGGTTAGAGCAGGCTCAAGCTCTCAACGCCAAGCTCTGGAGCGAACTCAAGGTGCATGAGCCTATTCGCGAGGGGACTGTCCACCCATTTATCGCGTTCCTGTCTTTCCCCAAGGGCAAGAAGGTTTTCTCCCGCGTCTTCCGTCACATTAGCTTCGAGCAGCGGACGACCATCCTTACCATGATCATCTTCCACCTGGACTCTCTGGACGTCGTCCACGGTGCGCAGCTCACCCACGGCGAGAAGAACCTCAGTGCCCAGAAGCGCGAGGATATCGAGCTCTTCTCTCTCGCCGTCATGCCCAGCCTGTTTGCATACTTCAACGACACTCAGATCGACATTGTCACAGATGTCCTCAGCATCATCACCTCCAAGCTGAATGTCGACAGCATCGCGAAGACTCGCGTTGGAACCTCAATGCTCACCCTTGTGCTGAGCCGCGCCGAACTGTTGAAGCAGGCTGGTGGAGGTAATCCTCAGGCATGGAACGAATGGTATGTAAATCTGCGCAGACCTTGTGACAATATGCTTACAAACTTTTGCAGGGATCAAGTGTTCGGCAGCTTCTTCAACGTCATTGAGCCGACTCTTCCTCACATGTTCCCCGGTAATGTCAATGCTGGCGAGGATGTCATAGTGTGGCAGCTTCTTGCGGCCATGGGCGTCAGCGCCAACCCCGAGCAGCAGCAGCGTCTGGTGCTTGCCGTGAAGGATCGAGTCCTCAGCACCGTTGAGCACGCAAAGACGCTTCCCGGTGCCATGGCCTCTCAACGTCTTGGGACCGTCAATCTGTTCATGCATTCGATTGGATTAGATGTTGATCTCTTGCAGTAAGGTTAAGCTTAGACCTTAAGGCTTCGGCAGCTCGTAGCGGGAGTCTGCCACGAGCCGGGCCGCAGCGCCGAACGGCATTGCCTTGCCAGACTCGCTTCGTCCAGACCATGCAATCGGGTGCATCAGGTCTTTGGACGGCAGGTGCCGTTGACTTCGAATCAACAGTAGCAGGCTAGCATGAAGGCGGCATGCGGTGACAGGGAGTCGTGTGTAGAACGGGAAAGGGGGTAGCTTTTGCGGCAGCACATCCCAAGGACCTTGTACATTACACGATCACCAGTCGCACCTTGCGTGTATGAGAGTAGCACAATGCTACCTCGCCGCTTATAGTTTTTTTTTAGTCGATAGTTCAGCAAATTTCGCAAATGCGCCTTGTTTCATTTCAGTGCCGGTCCCCGCCCCCCGTAATTTGTCCCAACGCCGTCTGAAAATAACTTCCTGCTTTCAGGGGTATCATGGTGGCACAGCGAGCCCGAATCCGTCTACCGTCACAGGTCAAGATCTAGAAGCCAACCGACCATCAAGCACCACGAGTGGTAGCGCCTCGTCCCCGTCCACGGCCACGTGCTACAGCACCACCCCTGGCACGGGGTCTGCCTTTGGCTGCCGCTTCAGCAGCCGCCTGTGCAGCCGCAGCCTCCTCGGCCGCCCGCTTTTGCTCTTCCTTGGAGACGGGCTTGGGCTTGACAATGCCACTGACAGCCTCCAGCAGGTCATCGTCGTTCCAGTCGGTGCCGAGCTTGGAGGCGTTTTCCGCAATGCTCAAAGCCTCGACCGCCTTGCTCGCCTTTTCGTCTCCTTCTTTGTCCTCCTCCTCCTCTTCTTCCTCTCCCGGGTCCGCCTTGCCCTTTCCCTTGTCACGCGATCCCTTCTCTGAGCCGCCGTCCTCGTCGAGGTCATCGTCAAGATCCTGTTCAGGGGCAGCAGCGGCGCCGTTCTTGGCGCCCTGGTCGCGGAGGTGAAGGCTTTCATTGTAGACCTCCCAGGCGGCCTCGTCGTTTTCGTCCGTGTACTTGAGTTTCCGCCAGTGTTCCGACTGCACGGACCGCAGCCGGTCGAGCATGGTGTCGCTCTGCGCCGCGCTGCCGTCGCCGCTCTGCTTGATGGTCATGTGAATCGCTTTGGCGGCCGCGGCGCCGCCGCCTGCGGCAGCACCATTCTCCTTGCTGGCGGCCGCAGAGGAGTTGCGCTCCTGGTACGTGACGGCGTCGATGTGGTGGAGCTGCGGGCGGAGGTGCACGAGGTTGGAGACGGGCGTCAGGTGTACGTCCTCTAGACAAGGGCAGAAAACTCATCAGTCATCATCACTCGGGTCAACGCCCGAAGGGGAGGGGGGGGGGGGGGGGGGGCGTGGAGAAGCCAGAACGCACCACCTTGGAAGACGCCAATCATGTATTGCACCTCCTTCGAGTCCGGGCACGTGCCGCCCATTGTTTGGGTCCGCAGCACCTTGTCCTGGCGGACGGCCTCGCTCCAGTCGAGGAAGAGATCGTCGTCTCGGTCGTCCTGGCGCTTCTTCTGCCGCGGGGGCGCCGCGCCGACGCCGAAACCGCCGGACAGGCCGTGGGTGCCGCCGTTCTTGCTGACGAGGGAGTTCTTGAGGTGGCGGCCCCAGTGCATGCCCTTGTCGCGATCATAGCCGCGCTGGTAGTCGAGGGGGATGTCCACCTCGACCATGCCGGCCATGGACTTGAGGCGCATCTCGGTGGGAGGGGCCTGGTCGGGGTTCGTCGTGTTCGGCTGCTGGAGGACCCATAGCTTGCGACCCTGGGGCAGGGCGGGGTTGAGCAAAAGGTTGTACGAGGCGACGATGGGGTCGTCATCGACCGAGGAGGCGTCCATGGTCGGCAGTATCTAGTGTCAAGGTGCGTGCAGCTAGTGCTGAAGAATGAGCAAGGCTGCTGTCGCCGGGAATTGAAAATAAGTCAAGCAAGCGGGTTAGGGAACGCCAGTTCATTAGGTCGTGCCCCGCGGATTTTCTTATCGATAACTATCCGTTTTCAATGGTTCTGGTGTTGGACCTCGGGCACTTGGGTTGGGGACAACCAACACCAGCGAATGAATGGGAAAGGTCCCATGCCATGACCGACTCGAAGTATTTTCAGTCAGATCAGGCACATATATACTGGGTATATAAGACGTCGCTAGATAATTGAAGGTAGGCTTGCTCAGCAATGGCGTAAAGTGTTTTGTTACCTGGACACAAATTTGGGTTAAGCTGTGATATGATGGGCTGAATAGCCGTTACTCTATTTGCTGAGCCAGAAGACATGTTAGTCTCAGGTTGCGGCGTCGTGTCCAGCATTGACCTTCTATTGCCGAACGCATATAAGATATGAGTCGAATTGCCATAGGGAGTACCGCTCCTGTTTTGTCACAGGCCAAGGAAGTGTTCGTGGGCCGTAGCAGGTTCACTGGTTCTTTCAAAAGTAATCTGTAGGTGCACTGGCCGAGCGAGGTGGCTCAACCTCGTTCGTTGACCAAAGACTCATAGGCTAGCTGTTCGCCTACGTGTTGGCCCAGATAGGTCGTGGTTACATCACTTCCAGTCACATACATTCAGCGAATAGACGCCACAAGCTTTTATTGTCTGCCTGGCTACCTTGACCGTGCTTCATCCTTGCAAGGCCAACCTGATCATACGTCTTGCATCATACTCGTACACTCGTGTCCCCGTTACCTCGCGCGCGAGAGTCTTAGATAATGTCGCCTCCATAACCTCCCCCGAACCCGCCTCCGTGGCCTCCGCCGCCAAACGGGTTGCCGCCCCGACCGCCTCCCGGCCGCGGCATGCCTCCGCTTGGTCCGATGGGATCCCACCTCGCACCAGGTGGTGCCTGTGGATCGAAACCTCCCTGGCCACCCTGCCCGCCGAACAGCGGATCGTCAAACGTCGGGTGCATACCTCCACCACCACCAGGCCGCGGCAATCCTCCTCCGATGAATGATGGTCGCAAGGGATCATGTGGTCCCAAGCCGGGCGGGTTCAGGTCATCGTGGCCAATGTTGAAGGGGGAGCGGCCAGGCATGCCCAAGGGATTTCCGCGAGGCGGTCTGTTGATCTCGTGCTCGTCCTCAAACCCCGGCGGCGGAAAATCGCCAGCCGGCAGCGGCCGATGAGGCGGGTGCGCGCCCGCAAGGGGGTCGTGCAGTGGGTAGGGATGGCCTGGCTGTGGCGGCCTGTCGCCAGCAAAGGGCCTCCCCGGCTCTCTGCCGGCTTGAGAACGACCCTCTTGTTCGGCGTTCTGTCTCGCATCGCGGTCGTCGGGCGTTTCTTCGTAGCCCTCGGCCTGCAGCTTTGGCACGAGCTTCTGGACGATGCTGCTCTTGAAGCGCTCAATGAGCTCCTCGATCAGAGCCTCGGACTTGAAGGCGCTCTTGATCTTATCCGGAAGGTCCGACCTGTCTTCGGATCCATCTTCTCGCAATGTGATGCGGATGGGGAGCTTGGAGGACTCGATGTAGTCACGCGGTGTCAGCTCGAAACGGTGAATGATGTCGTGGCCGACGGCCAGTCCGCGAATCTCGGCCTTGGCGCCCATGCGCGTGATGTTGATCAGATCAGTCATGGAGGTTTGCTTGTGGGCATAAACGAAGCTGAGAGAGCCAAAGCCGGCGTTCCATGACGATGGCAGGCGGGGTGCGTGTAATTGAATTTCCTCCTCTATCCTCTTCTCTTCGTCAAAGCCGAGCAGCCGAAACTTGAGGGCTGACATTGAGGCGTGTGTGAGGAGGGCAAGGAGCTCATACGAGCTGCTGACGTCTGAGGTGGTGTCTCCGGATGGATGAGTTGGTATGACATCAGCCATCAGCTGCAGAACAGCCTGGGTGGCGAGAGGATTTGCCATGGTTGGTTTGATTGGAAGTAATGTGACGTACAAGTGTTGTTTGATTTGCATGCGATGTATGTGGGAGGAAGAAAAGGAACAGGTGATGGGCGTCGGAAGATGATCGTCTATGCCGGCTTTAAGTCCTAAGGAGGAAGGATGGGAGGGAGCCCGGCCGCCTGGAGCAAGCAACACAAGGCAGGAAGGAGCTCCATGTCGGGCCTCTGCTGGCGTCACCACCTGTCAGCCTTAAATGTGGAGTATCGCCTACCCCTCATGTCCTTATACGGGTGTTTATCCCTCTATGTGCATACTACGCTCTCTGCTCACATCAGCTTCGAACAAGGCCCTGGGTCCTTCCAACGGAATGCCAACGGAATGGCACTGAGATTGATTGAAGGGAGAGAATGATGAGGGTAGTCTGTACTGGTATGTATGATCACAAGTTGGTGAAAGACAAGGACCCGAAGCGGCCCTGTAAAGAACTATGCAATTTAAGCATGAATGGCATCACGTGAACTGGCGTCTAGGTGGTGTAGCACAGTCACGTCCCGCCCCAAACCATCAACGCGTACGCCTCTCCTCTCACTGCACCCGCTCCCATCGCATACCAGCATCATCAGGCCGCGGCCACATTCCGCATCCCAAAGCCATGCTCACAGACAACGGCAACATGCAGGCAGATCCTTCGGATGAGGACCTGCCTCAGCCCCAGCCCGGTCTAGACATCCCCCGCCCGCAGGCCCGCTCCCTCCTGCAGACCTTCTGCAGCTTCCTAACCATGACGCTGCACACGCTCATCTTCCACCGGGCCCTCTACCCGCGGCCGACGTTCCTCATGGCGCGGCACAACAACCTCGTCGTGCCCCAATCCCGCCACCCGGCCGTGTGCGCCTGGATCAACGACGCCGTGGGCCAGGTGGCGCCGCTGCTGGCCGTGGGCCGCCTGGCCAAGGTGACCATCAACTTCCACCTGCCGCGCACCCTCCAGGTCGTCGACCGGTGGGTCATTGACGTGAGCCACTTCCCGGCCTGGATCGACGAGGACGACGTTGCCGTTCTCGCGGGCGGCGGCCAGCAGCAGCAGCAGCAGCACGTCAGCAGCCGGGGCAGGGATCGCCTCATCGTCGCATGGGAGCAGCAGGAGAAGAGGCGCACACGCGCCCGCCGGGAGGACGAGGCTGAGAGGGAGCTCGCCGAACTCGAGAGGGCCGTCAACTGGGTCGACGTCGACGAGGCCGTACGCGGCGCCCTCAGCAGGATCGGGAGCGCAGCCGCGACAAAGGGCCCTCTGCCCGAGGACAGTACCTTCACCGTGGCCGTCGAGCTGCGCGAGGATGCCCCTGTGCCCATTGGCGTGAGTGGCCCCTCCTTGTGTCTCGTTCCAGGGAGCTCTTTCTTCGGCCTCCGCTCCGTATGCTAACAGGTTGAAGCATCCCCAACACTGGATCCCCTCGGACCCGTCACTGCAGTATGGCGCCGACCCGCTGTCCGGCACACCCCGAGGTGAAGCTTCGACAGAGGGTCCACGCGGCACATCGACGATACCTCTGCGCACAGTTGACGCGGGCCCTCTTTTTTGGGAGTGCTGGGTCGAGGAGTGCCCGTCAGTACAGCCTACAGAAACAGTGGCAGCAGCACCAGCACCACCATCACAAGAAGACAGCGCCCGTCAATCAAATTCGACATGACTTTGCTACTGCTGCTCATTCATCCCTTCCCATTGGTATCGTTGGCCTTAATCCCTTCGTGCAAGTGCAAAATACAAATGAGTCGTTACACGGGCCACCCGTTTAACCTGCCCCGCCCCCCCTTTTCCAAACCGTTGATGATGCAGAGGCAGTGATTGTCACACCCGGAACGCCCGCTCGCCTGAACGCACCTCCCTTTCAACCCGTGACCCTGCAGATGCCCAGCTGTTCGGGCCAATCCCGAACACCGCTCACCTCGCCCAGTTGGATGAAGGCAAATTTCGACAAGCCATCCTAGGCGCCATCGGCCGCCGCTTCCCCCTTCAACGCCGTCCGCAGGCTGATGACCTCGCGCCGCAGACGCGCATTCTCGCGCTTCGTCTTGGCCGCCTCCTCGCTCTGCTCCCGCAGCTTGCTGACCAGCTCCTCCTTGTCCTCGCGGCCCTTGCCGCGCAGCGCCTTGACAATCTTGCCGAGCTCGCTGTTGAACTTTTCATACAGCAGCTCGTTCTCCGCCGTGGCCTCACGGTACAGCTGGTCGATGGCCTTGACCTTGGCCTCGGACGCCTTGAGCGTGCTCTCCATATCACGCTGTATGGCCGAGTGCCTTTCGTTCAGCTCGCCCAGCATGGTCGGCATGCGTTCCTCGAGCGCCGTCACCGACTGCGTCAGGAGCCGCAGGTCGATGGTCCCCGTTCGGTCGCCCAGCCCATTGTTCACCCGCGACATTTCCTCGGCGATCTTGCTCAGCTCCGACTTCAAGGATGCGTCCACCTCGTCGACGGCCTGCTTCTCCGTCTGCAGCCGCTCGCGCAGCTTTTGTGGCGATTGCAAGCGAAGCCTGCCCGAGCTTCCCGTTTTGGTCGGGCTGAGGCTCGGCCGCGTCGGCGACTCACCTCCGCTGCCCAGACCGCTGCGGGCCGGCTTGAGCGTTGGGATCTGGGATGTAGAAAAGTTCTTTGAGTGGTGGCCCCTCGTCGGTCGCTTTTCAGTGCCCGCCGTCGATGGCGACGGCTGGAATATGTCCGCCAGGCTGATGTTCTCCTTCTGCGGACGGGGCACGCGCAAGCTCTGCGTGTTTGGGCTGACGGGGATCCTCGACGGCGTGGGCGACTTGGCCCTCGGCGTCGAGTTGAACTTCTCCGATATTTGCTTGTTGATGCTGAGAGGCAGGATGCTCGTGTCTTCTGCCGGGTCGCCGAGACTCGCGGCAGCCATGAGGCTCCTGAGATCAGACAGAGAGCTGCGCCGCTTCTTCTTGGGCGTCTTGTGGGCTGCGGCCTCGTGGTCTGGCTCACCGATTGTCTCGAGCCGAGTCTCGAGCTTGTGCGAGCTTCCTGGTCGCTGTAGGTCGTCGAATGCGCCAGCCAGTGGCGGCCTGTCTCGCGAGTTGGGCCTCTTCAGTTTGTTGGGACCCGGGTAGCCCATGTCAATAGACCTCGTCCGGCTTGCGGTCGCCCTCGACAGACTTGCAGTCTGGCTAACATCTCCCGTGGCCGGATTGCGGGTGTGCTTACTGAGCGTCCTCCAGACAGACGGACGATCCTCATTTTTGCTGTTCTGTCGCAATAACGAGTCCAGTCCAAACTTGCGGCGGATAGAGGATGTGTTGGAGGTCAAGGAGCCTGTGTGAGACTTGGTGCTGCGAGTCATAGAGTTCATCGACTCATACGCCGAGCCACCGGGATGAAGGTTGGCCCCGAAGCTGGTGTCCTCAAATATGCGATCGCAATCTTCGACGAGGCGGTCAAGAAGGTTGATGTAGTTGTGCGCTGTGCCGTCTACAACCAGCAGTTCGGCAAACGCGACGGTGATTGCGCCTCGATCGCTGTCATTGCTGCACCCCTCCAGCAAGTCGGCGAGCAGCTTTATCAAGGCCGTGAACGCTCGTCGGTTCTGTGGCGCCATGTCTCCAAACATGTAATTGACAAAGTCGGCGAAGTTTCCCGGCACCTGCTTGTTCATGCGTTCCTGTAGCGTATCAAGGGCCTGGATCGTCATGATGGGACCCATCTGCTCTCGCCAGGCGATGTTGAGGAACTTTTCGAAAGCGACGAAGATGGAGTCAGCAGAAAGTTCAGAGGACGCGTCAAGGTCAAAGGGGCTCTCGATGAGCCTGTTATACAGGTCGTTGACGGCCAGCTCATCCACAGCCCCTCTGTTGAGAAGCATTCGGCCAACAATGCTGCCCTTGCGTGCCTGCAAGCTAGCAACGTATCCAGTAAATGTTTGCTCGAGGCGCACCAAGGGATTTTCAGGTTTGCTTTCATCCATGGCGATCCGTCCCCCGTCTCTGCTTCTTGCTGAGCCAAATATCGAGTTGGTCTCGCTGTTGGCGCGTGATATCGGAGGGGGAAAGACGTTGGTGACGGGTGCTCTGGCGTGTTTCGGCGAGGCAGCGCCCTGATCTGCGCCCGCGTTGGAGCTGCCTCCCCAGATTGTCGACAACAGGCCCTTGACTGGAGATGACGCGAGGAAAGATCGCGTCTTCTCTGCCCGGGTTGTCAGCTGAAGACCTTTGAGGGCTTTCGTATAGTACGACACCAATGCTGGAGTAAGACGCATATTGGACGTGCCGTGTTGTACACTGAGCAGCTGGATGACTAGGTTTTGTCGATTAGCATAGTGATATTGGTGAAAGGGCCTCGAGAGACTTACTTCGACGCGATAATGTGGGAAGAAAGTCCTCCAGAGCAACGTCATCCGCAAATTGCTTTCCGTTCAACCCTGCCGTTTGCATGTTAACGCGCCTCATGTCGCCGCTGTGCACATTGACAGTGACCTCAACGCCATAGTGTCCGATAGGCGCGCCCTTGGTGCCTTTCTCGTGATCCACGACGATACGGATAGGTGCTGGTTCCCGCCTTCCCTCAATCAGCTGGTCAGCCCCTTCTTGGAATACGGCGGCAAAGATGCCCAGGTTGTTGTCTGGCAACCGTGAGCACCGAAGGGTCCAGGTAGGGTCCTCGCGCTCGCCCTCGGAGAACCGGCCTTCAACACGAGCCTTGACAATGTCCTCGGTCCATTTAAAGGCCTTGGCCTCGTGAGTCTCTTGAAGCTGGAAACACCGCGAGGTCACCGCCGTGCCTGTGACCCACTCTCCAGCATGAGCACCCTTCATCTCTTGTGTGGATGTCATCCAAACGAGCGCGCCATCGGCGGATTCGGTGAATCGAACGTCTGACAGGTTATGCCAGCCGGTGAATGCAAGCTCGTAGGACCCAGGACCACCAGCAGCATTGGTCATGGATACAAGGAGGCCAGCAGCGGAAGGTTTGTCAATCTCGCGCAGCAGATCCCGACCCGTGACGATATTGGGACCGAGCTTCTTCAGAATGACGACGCAATCCGCAAACAACAAGAACATGCCAGATCTGTCTGCTGCTTCGTACTGATCCACCGAGTTGAAAGGGGCAGGCACTTCGACAAAGTCGACCGCGAGAATCAGGCGTCCCTGAGGCTGCAGGTCCAACGGCCAGCTCTCCACCATATTTCGTAGTCGGTTGGTGACGTGGGGTTTGTCTGGTAGTGGCTCGTCCATGGAGCAGATATTTGTGATAATGTCTCTAGCCTTCAGCATGGGCTGTAGGGCGGGATGCGTCATGGGCAAGCAACTGACGATCTGGTCAATCAGCAGGCTGTACCGGGGTAGTCGCTGAACTGGCTCGATAAGAATGGAGCGCACGGCTTGCTCGCCCGTCTGTGTCACTCTCTGTCGGAAGCTCGACTGCTGATCGAGAAACGAGTTGAGAAGAGTTGGGAAGTGTTGGCTGGCACGGATGTACTCCTGGTAGCAGTCGGTAAACTTGGGAAACCATTCGAGGAATATCCTCGCTACTGCCAGAGCGCCACTGGGGTCTTTGGTCTTGGCCGATGCGCCGAGTTTAGAGCCCGTAAGTGCTGCTGTCGTTGTTTCCATGTCACGTACGGCCTCATCCTCGGTGTCGTTCATGACATTGCGGAGTTCCTGCATGAAGGCAGAGTTAATCTGCAGTATCCGGTCGGCTGAGCGGGGGAAGAGCTTCTCGAGCTCCTCTTCGGAAGGGCTCAGACTGCCTCGCGCCCGGGCTTTGGCCGACTGTCGAAAGTCATCGGCAATGTGCTTGACGAGCTCGTTGAGCTTCATTACGTATCGTTCTTCTGTGTCTATGAGCTCGCCCAGCTTCATCCTCAAGTCCACTTTCTGATCCCTCGTGAAGGATTTGCTCCGATTCAGCGCCGTAGGTTTCGAGGGCGCCCTTCGCAGTCGGGCTGTCGGCAGGAATACAGGCTCGCCAAAGAGCTTGACCAAGGGTGTGTAACCTCCATATTGTCGCAGAGTGGGGTCGAGGATGTCGTCGTCGTCGTCGGGCACGTCTTCGAGATCTTCTGGGCGGAGGGGCACGATAGCACCAGGCGGCAGCACAAAGTCAATGTCAACATTGCTCAGGTGCTGGGTCTGTAGAGCGGTCTGCAGAGTAGCAATTACTTCGGCCGTATTCTCGCTCTGGATCATATTGGCAGCGAGGTCAGCAGCATGCTGTTCACCGAACAGCGCAGGGCCGCTGCCAGGCCGTCTCCCCCTCGTGGTGGGGTAGGTGTGCTTCAGGTGATTCTTGACGACTTCTGGAAGCTCGGTGAAGTATTTGAAGAGGCCGAAGGCGAGGCCGCGGTAGATCTCGTCGCCCTGCCATTCGCGGGGCAGGTAGTTGACAACGCTGTAAAAGGGAGAACCGGGGCTGATGGTCAGGCGAGGGAAGCATTGCAGGCCAGCGGGGCTGTAGACGTGGATCTGGACGCGAGAGCTGTTGAGAGTATAGTTGGCCGTGGTCGAGGGGCCGTGGAATATCAGGACGGGGAGGTGGCCGAGAAGAGGGTCGGTGGCGTGGTATAGGGTGACATGCTCCGCAGACAGGGCGGGCTCGTCGGTGACGCGAACCATGGCGGCGGCTGATGTTGATCGTGGTCTCGTTAACGGGCCTCCAGGAGCATTGCCGACTTATCGCCCAGGCGTTGAGGGGTATGGAATGGTATCCGATTGAGGAGCGATCCGGGAGAGGGGCGAAGCGACGTTGTTGCTTGTGTTCTTCCAGGTAAACATGGAAGCACCGTGTGATGGTGGTGACGATGCGCTAGCGCGTCGACGGGCTGCTGCAGCCGCTTGTGCGCAGGTCGCTGATTTGGCGTGCGGCTGCAAGGTGATGCGGCTGGCCTGTCTTGCGACCTGGGTGATGAAAATAGCGAACGTGGTCGTCGACGAGTGGGGGGGGGGGGGGGTCGATCTCAAAAGTTGAGGCCCGTCTGGGAGTGGTGGAAGGAGGAATGATCGGGTTTCGGATCGGGCCCCCGTCAAGCTTAAGCGAGGCAAGCTCAGATTCGCCTTGCGATGGATTGGAAACTCGATTCCCGGGGGCAGACAGGACAATGCAATGCAATGCGGAAACTTCACCACAGTTGTTCTCGCTTGCCTTCCTATGGCCATGTTTGACTGGGATGTTATGGCTCACCGCCCCAGTGACAACAGCTTTCCCAGCGTCCTACTGGGTGCGTTGCTGACGGGACTCGACGCGTTGCCAGGGGACCTTGGGCGCTAGAGAACCAGGCCAATGCCGACACCGCCCGCTGTCAACACACAAAAGGCACCCACCTGCCGTCATTCTCAGATAAGGTGCCCCTTTAGGTACATGTTCCTTGGTGCCTGGTGCAAGACGAGTGACCTTGACAGGGGGAATAGCGGCAGCAGACGCTAAAACAAAGCCCCACGCGCTGCTGGCAATGTTTGGCACGGGTCAGCCTGGAGGACCCCTCCTTCCAAATCCAGCACCATGAATGGTCGATTAGTGTTTGCAGAGCGCTCACTGTCAATGACCAAGGCAAGCATCTTGGGCCAGCTTTGCTCAGGTTTCGTTTCTGTACATGGCCAGTGAACGGAATGAATAACATCTAATAATGGCCAAACTTTAGAGTCATCGTGTCTCTGCTCTCCTGTGAGGTTCCATCGTCAGTTTCCGAACACCAACATCCGTCAGATGTCGTGCTGTGCCCCACGTACCTTACCTGGCACTCTAGCCCACCATCAAATGACCTCACTCGTGCTCCTCGGCTCCTCCACACCCAGTCGGGCTGGACACCACATCTCCCCATCTCCTAGCACATCACATCATGTCTACACAAGACAACAACGGCATCCCCGTGTCCTCGGCCCCAGATGGTCGAGGCTACAGGCTCTTCGAGCTCCCGCCCGAAGTTGAGTCGGCTCTCACATCACAAGCTCCTCCAGTGTACGACCTTCCGAGCCCTGGCCCCATCCCTATCCATCACCCACGGCACATAACACGCCTCGTGCCGGGATTTTCTTCTGACGTCTTGGCAGCCTATACATCAAGCATCCCGAGGAAGCCTCAACAGCTCAACTGTCCGTCCCCGGTGGCAAGACGTATGCGCTCCAGCAGAAGAACACGTCCAACGCGCTCCTCATCCTCTCACCGTCGACTGACGACTCTGTCCCCGGGCTTACTTCCGTCGCCACTGTTCATGACTTTATCGAACTGTTGCCCGAAGCACCTGGGCCTGAGGCTCGAGGAAACAAGGGCAAGTGGCACGAAAGATTTGGCAAGAATCGGTGACGAACAAGGCATTACGACGGCAGGCATTTCTTTCGTTCTGGATGGCGGATTAGGACACGTCCAATTTTGAGTCGTAATTACTTTCTTTCTTTCCATTCTCTGGACAACTCGTTGCATCATTACTAGTAGCATGTCACGGGTTCACGCAGCAATGGTTATCCTGGGCGTGCGAAAGAAGTGCTCCACGATGTGATACATGGGCATGTATTAAAATATTACCTGACACACCCCGTCAAGCACCTCAAGAAGTAGGATGCGATTCTTTGTGGACTACATGTACGAACAAGATGACCTGTCTCTATGATATTAGACCCGGATCCATCACTTGTAATCATCGTCCGAACCCTTGGACTCGAAGTCATCTTCTTCTTCTTCTTCATCCTCACTTTCTGACACCATGACCCTTTGGCGGCGCCTTGTGGATCGCCGTGGCGCTGCTCGTCGTTTAGGCCGAGGTTGTGTGTTCTTAGGTGCAGGCAACGTGTCAGACTGATCAGCCTCCTCAGGTTCGACATTGTCGGATTGATCGGATAGCTTTTGGACTGCATCGGCCTTACTTGAGGTTCCATCTCGGTCTTCACCGTGATCAACAATTAAATCATCCAGGCCTTCCTCTTCATCGTCATCAATAGGCGGGAAAAAGCTCGAGGTGACCTTTCTCGCTGGGGGTTGAGTCGTACTTTCCGCCGCGTCTTGGCCATCTGGCAGGAAACCGCCGGCCAGGTCATCGTCATGTCCAGCGGGGAGAAATCCGCCAGCCATATCCGGGTCGTCGTCGTACGCAGCCGGTCTATCGATCTCCTTGTCCAAGTCGTCATCGCCAACGCCCCCAACTTTTCGGCCGAAAATTTGAACGTCGTCCTCTACGTGTCCATAGTCTTGTCGAATTCGCTCCACAATTCGTAGCCCTTTAAGAAACTTGCTCCAAAGCCGCAATGCTTCTTTGCGCCGCTTCTCATCTTCCTTACGAGCCTTCTCCGCCTCGTCCTTTCGGAGCTCTTCCATCACCTGATCGTGGTGCTCCTCAGCCACGACAACACCTTGTATGACAGGTACAGCCATGCGGTGGCCGAACTCAAAGTCCACGACAGCCTCAGCAAAGTCGATTTGCAATCTCTTACACACCTTGACCACCCCTCGAAAGGGAATATGGACGGCTCCTTCCGGACACATGTGCTCTGCGAACAGGTCGATGTTGCCATAGTCATTCTTCGGGATGATCCCATCCTTGATCGGTGGAGGTATGATCCAGTCGGTTTGGTCGAAACTGTAAAGCCCCTGCAACACCTTTTGGCCACTGATAGCCTCGGCTTCAGCCAGCTCCCGTCTCCTATTTGTTGTCGCGGCACGGTACGGCACCTTCTTTAGTGGTAGTTCACCTGCTCGTGGCGCCCGTCCCTGCTTGTGCCACGTCTCTGCACTCTTGACATTGACGACATCCTTTCTGGCATAGACTGGCTCTTCGGCGCCGTCTTCAGCTTTATCCTTCGTCTTATCCTTGGCCTTACCCTTGTTTCGGAACATTTTGACCGCTTCCGCAGTAGGGAGAAGCGCCTCCTCGCGTTTCAAGTGCCGCTCGAGACAGAATTCCGTGGACTGTTTATAATACTGTAGCGTTTCCTCGCCTTCTTTTACCTCCTTCTTCTCAGGTTTGGCCGGCTTCAGGTCGGTTGAGTCTTCCTTTTCGTCCACTTCCGTGATGGGATACTTCCGGCTTCCCCGAACAAAGCCTTGGAGTGCGGACTTGAACCAGTCAAACTGGTTGTATCTCTTTATTTTCCCCCTCTTATCGTGAACAGGTATCTTCTCTAATGGCATCCTCATTCCTTTGGTTCTGCCAGGTAAAGTCTGTCGCTTGAGGTACCTGACCGTGACATCCTTGGCTGTGCCATCTTGGGAATAGCCAACGACATAGGCCATGACTTGTCGCGCTTTGTCGGCTTTGCTGCCCCTTGGCTCCAGCGATTCTATAAGCTCGCGGTTCGTTGCAATGACTTTCTTCACAATTGCGTCGACCGGCAGGTACATCTTGCTGACTGGCGATAACACCTCAGTCCAGTAATGAGGATATTCGAGGTCCTGGTCGAATTTCTTGGTGCTGGCGGGCTTGCTCGGCGCCACGTCGAGCTCGACAACAGAGTCTTCATCGCTGTCTGGAACGACTGATATCAGTGTGTCAGGCTCATCAGAATCCGCGGCCTCGTCTTTAACGCTCTTCCGTCGGATCGACCTCCCGTTAGTTGTTTTTGCTGGCGGTTTCCTTTTCGTCTGCTGTGTCGATTTCTTGACGCTGAGGTTCTTCTTCAAAGGCAAGTCGCCCTCTGTGGCCAACTTGCTCCGCTGCACGGCTGCCAATGTACTCGTGTCCTTCTCTGCATCGGCATCCTCTGCCTTTGTCCAGCCAAAGCCCAAGGGTTGTAGATTAGCAACCATCCGAGCCTCAAGGCCTAGAGCGCGCAGCAATGCTGTAAAGAGCTGCGCGCCAACATCGCGACTTCCAGAGCATGCCGCGGCACAAGCTCGAAAGCTATCGAGATCGTGAATTCTTTCTCCGTGAAGCTTCACGTCTTCGCTGGAATTAGCCCACTCTTTGGTCAGCCTGTCGAGACGCTCAAGAGACATATAGCCCAACTTGCGAATACCGGGCGCGGTGATCTGGAAACGCTGCTTCCACCAGGAGCTTAAACTCTTCATCAGTCGAAACAGGGGATCGCCGTGGCTCATGTCAACGGCACCTTCTTCCAAACGGTCGGCGGCTGGCCCCCAGTCTCGGGAATCTTCTTCGTCGGCCTTATGGACCTTTGTGCGCCGCTTTGGCTTGGCTTTAGGTTTCGTTTCCGATGCTTTCGTGGGCTTCCCGTCCAGTCCACTAGCGGTCCTCCAACGGTCGACCTCGTCGAAGAGCCGGGGCGGGATGTGCGACATCAAGGTAGCCTGCACCTCATGATCACAGAGCCAAGCATTTCGAATGGCGTTGTGCCAGAGAAGATGCTGCACGTGCACACAATGGGTTGCTATCCGAACCTTCCTTTCGATCTTCGAAGGGCCCTTCTTGTCGCCAAACGGGTTGGTCAGGGAGATCCGGGTGTCGCGGTGCAGGGTCAGTTCCAGGTCACCGGTGCCGACCGAAGTGTCGAGCATTGATGTCCTCGGCGCCGGGACGTCCTCAAACTCAATGTCTTCGTCATCTTCATCCTCGTCGTCATCGCCAGAGCCCACGGTCACATGTCGTTTCGCAATTGGAACTTCCTCAAAGTCTCCGTCCGAAAGGTCGCTCAAGGAGCTACAATCCTCACTGTCGTCGAGGGTCTCCAGAAATGTCTTGCTGGATTTGGCAACTGAGGCAGCCGAGGCAGCCGAGGCGTCGAGGTCATCGTATAGAGTTGCCTTGCGCTTACGACCGGTCGACGACGGAGGCGGTGCGGCTGCAGTCTTGGCCACTTGCCTTCGTTTTGACTTGCTTGGATGGGGCGACTCATCGCGCAGCCTTTTGCGCGGTACGCTAGGAGGCATTGTGAAAAAGCCGCCTAGGAGGGTTGTCGCGATTTACGACATGGCAGGACGGAGAAGGGCTTCTGTGGCGCCAGGTTTGCGCCAAGGCACCGACAAACCGAAAGTCTGGCGTCATTGATTTCACGGGAGGAACGCGAAGGCACGTGATCAGCAACCAACAATTCCAAGCCCAACAGGCAGATGCGTTTGGAGCAGACTTGACCCGTTTCGCGGATGTGTCATAGATGCGGGCTTGGGTCAAGCAAAACGACTGGATCACATGCGAAAAGCAAAAGTTAATGCGCCGTACGTGAATCGAACACGTCTCTCATGCTTGCTCGTTGTTAACGATGGAAGGCAGGAATCATAACCACTAGACCAACGGCGCTTGATGACAAACCCGGTGTTGGGGGAGATACTTGTTCGATGGGGCCAGCATGCTGGTATCACCCCACTACTAACTTGGAGGGGGAGGCTACATCAGCACTTGGCAGTATCTTGGGAGTTCCAGGTCGTTCTACACCACTTCGTCAGCGCTTCTACCACCCAACTTCTTAATAACTTGTCCAAGAGACTTCGGTAGCTTGCCTCCACGTACTCTGGTTTGCCTAACGACGGCCTTTTATAAATTTTATAAATCGACCTTAGCCATGGCGCCCACCCACCCCGAGGCCAATGACACCAGCTACGTCAACATGGGCGAGTCCAAGGACGGCTTTGACGAGACCCTTCTGGGCAAACACTGCGAGTACGACTACTGCAATCAACTCGATTTTCTTCCCTTCTTCTGCCAATCCTGCAAGAAGACGTTCTGCCTCGACCACCGCTCCGAAACCTCTCACAAGTGCGTCAATGCCGGCGCATGGGCCGAGCGTCGACGCCAGGCGCAGGCCGCGACACACTCACATGGCCAGGGACGCCTTATGCGCGACGCCGTTTCCGAGAAGCCTTGTGCGTCACCCTCGTGCAAGACCACGATTGGCACATCGCTCGTCCCTGGCGTCCACTGCTCCACCTGCAACCGCGACTACTGCCTAAAACATCGACTGAATGAAGACCACAACTGCAAGAACCTTGTGCCCATTGGCGCGAGGGCGGGAGGCAGCCAGATGGACGTCGTTGCGTCCAGGACGAAGAGCGCGCTCGAAAAGCTGCGGGCTTGGGGTTCCGCGAAGAAGGAGCAGGCCGGAAGGGCGCTACCCAAGCCAAAACCCACCTCGGTATCGCAACGCATGATCGCCGTCAACAACCTGAAGAAGACAGCCAAGGGTGACGACAAGCTGGCTCCGGAAAAGAGGATATACGTATACGTCGAAGCGGAGGCCGAGACGGCGAAAGCTAAATTTCCCAAGGGCGCCTTCTTCTTCTCCAAAGACTGGGTCGTGGGAAGGGTCCTGGACGATGCAGCGCGACGATTACAAGTCGAGAATATCAACAACCGTTCCTCGGACGAGAGGGACAAGCTCCGTGTCTTCCACGTAGAAGGAGGTCGGTTACTTGAGTTTAACGAGAAGGTTGGGTCGGCTCTGGTCAGTGGCAACACTGTTGTTTTGTTGCGCGGCGTTGGGCCACCTCCTGACTTGATCGAGGTGTGAGAAACGGATCGAGGTGTTCAGCGTTGCATTGCATGGGCTTGCATGGGCTGGTCGGTTCAGCATACTTAGAGATACCCTTGAATGTTATAGCATGACAGGCCATGTGTTATACAGTAGAACGCAACGGCGCTCAGGATTACGGGATGGCCATTATTTACATAGTATGTGCGGAGCTGTGTGTGTAGGCTGTGCCTCTGGCTTCAAGCTGGTTCCCTCGTTTGGTGCGTTATAGTTCCTTCTCCTTGGTTGGCTTCTTTACCAGCAAATCCTCGCGCCCAGTTGTTGGCGCATCACCAACGTACTGCTTCCCACCATACGCCTCAAAGCCCTTGTGGAACAGCCACTCTACAGCATTCTCCACTGGCTCGTCGAACAGCGTGGGTAGTGCTGGGACGACCGCAAGGCCGAGGCCGATGGGAGCCCACGTTCTGATTCTCGTGTTCTTCATGTTCTTCATCGCTCGTCCAGAGTAACGGACAACGCTGTGTATGGTGAACGCAGGTAAGCCCATACTTGCGAGGCTCTGAAAAATGGCTCTCTGCACCATAACGGTGCGGTAGTCCTCCAGAGGAGCGACCGTGCCGGCCTGCAGAGGAGTCTGCTCAGTTGCATCTACGGATTTGAGGCCCGAGATGTGCTCTTGTCGCTCCGTAAGCTGCAGTGCAGGGTTGAGTGTGCGCTGGTTGTGCAAATATGATTTGTAGCCCTCGTAGCTCACATCACCCAAAATGTAGAGCCACGAGATACCGTAGGCAGCGCGCACAAAATTGGGATGCGCCACGGGCCGGAATGACTCGCCAATATCGGATGTGTAGGCTACATAGCGGTGCGCGGAGCTCAGGATCGTGCGCACTCGGGTGGCGTAGGCTGCGTAACGAACGTTGGACTCGGTCGATTCGGGAGCGCTGCAAGACATGTCAGATCATGACTTTTACGCTTGAGCACTAATCGACACATACTAGCCGTCGACGAGCTCGTCGAAGAAGTTCTCGTCCTTGTCTGAATCATTTGCGATTTTTTGCAGTGAGGCCGGCAGCTTCCTGTGCTCGGGGAGCTTGTCGGGATCGAATGCTCCCGTGGCTTTCGCAGTTGTAGGTGGAGGGCTGTCTGCGGCTTTGTCCGCAGACGCTGCGGGCTTGTCTTGAGGCTTTCCCCACCACATTTAAAATGACTTCGGTGTAAGAATGGCGCCGTGGGAGTCTGGTCGTTGGTCGATGAAAAATGTTGAGATAAAAAAGAACCAGAAAAGAAGAAGGGAGTAAGTGCTAGATGTCGCGATTCGCCTTCCGGTTGCCTGCGCAAGTTGCTCTCGGATGACGTCCCGGTTGCGGCTGGATAAGGAGCGTTGTGACCGATAAGAAGCCAGCCGGTAATCCCGCCCCACCACCTCAAGTTCCAATTGTTCGATCTGAGTGCCTGAATATCCAGGCTGCAATGGGCATTCTCGGGAACGATTTCTGGAGCTTCAACATCGCGAAGACTAAACGAAGCTCAGTTTAACCCATCACCCCTCACCGTCGACCCTGTCAATCCTTCGAGCCTCGATACCCCCTTTCCACCGCCAAAATGGTTCAGATGTACTCTATCGCCGGTCGCCAGATTGGCTCCCACTACGTACGCTCCCTTCGACCCGCTCTCTCCCTCGGCCATTGTTGGTAAAGTGCTAATATGCCGTTTCCCACCCGCAGCTGGCCATTGGCGTCCTCGCCACCCTCTTCACCGGCTCTTACGTCTCCCTCAGCGGCGGTAGCAAGGCCCCCGCTGCCACTCCCCCCATCAACGCCTCCAGCTCGGACGAAGCCGACTTCATCAAGTGCGTCATTTGCTCCCTCTTGAAGGCCGCGATGCCGTGCGGCTTGCGCCGTGATCGATTGGTTGCCCGACTTAATGCTAATACATGATATAGGAAGTTCCTCGACAGCCAGGACAAGGATGCGAAGAAGCACTAATGTGATTGACGGATGGAGCTGGAGCGAGCGGTCGGTGCGACCCGTGTACATTTAGAGGCGATGAGGTCAAGCGAATCAACCACGACTGTTGCCCACGCGCGGCTCGAACAATTACTACCTCGACTTATTTTTCTGGCATTGATCGAGCTGATGAACGGCTGCGTCGTTTTTGAAAGGGCTACGAGAGCGCAACCTCTGGATGACAGGCGGCCAATTTCTGTGAAGATCTCTGTCTTGACTGGCCCGATGACTTTTTCGCGAGACTTACTTTGATGCACAGCGACATACGGAGACCTCCCAGCTCGATGTTGTCTTTGGGCTCTTCCTCTTCTTGATGATTCAGCGTATTGATTGGTCGCCATATTCCACGGAACCATGCGCCCTGGTCGTTCCCTTCCTGTTTTCGCCCCCGGAAGAAAGGTTCATGTAACGACAGCAGGTCTTCTTGGGATCCATCTCAGAAATCTGGCTCACGTATGATGACAGCGCCATAAACCCTTTTAATTCATGTGACAGTAATCCACGTTACCTCAAAGCTGGGTCTGTAGAGCTATCTACCAAACGCCCACATAACCATCAGAAGGCTACGGTGGACAAATCGTGGTAGCAATGTTTATCGCCATAGAGTTTGGGCTATTCCGACGAAACTGTTCGCAATTACAAGGCTATAGAGAATGTAACGAAGCTTGCGGACTTGACCAGCCAGACTTTTTGGCCATTGCAATGTTCTTGCTGTCAGGTTCTGGGAGAACACGCCCATCGTCCCACCGTAGAATCTCAAGCAAGATAGCCGCGTAAGGTCATGCTTACACCCAGTTCATAGGCAAACAGGGGATGGTTGAGTGACATTGTCTCTCAGCTTCTTTGTCCCAACGTCGTACAAAGCTTATGGATTGTACAGGTAGTAGCTGACACAGCATATCGGCATTTGAAGTACACAGTCTTTATAGCCACTACGGCGATATTCCTAGTCCCCATGGTTTACGGTGAGAAAATTGGGGCTATTGGCTGTAAAATATGAGCAACTAAGTAGGTCTTGATAATTCTGACAAGATGTCAGAGGAACTTGTGAAGCCCATGGCGGCCCTTCTCAACCAAGGGTGTAATCAACTGGACAGCCCTACCAAGGTCGCCAGTAAAATGTTCCCAGGGACCGTAAGGGGAGAGATTCAAGTAATTACTGTCATAATAAGCTAGTCGGTGGGCGACTAGGTAAAAAGATCTCATGCTTTGCGATGACAGGCGCAGGTAGACTTTATTCCTCCGTTGTAGACACACACGGACAGCCCGCTGAAGGGTACCTTATACAAGGTGGGGCCACTGTAGCCCGCACACTCCAGTCTCTGGTACGCGTCTCCGCCTGAGCCCATTAAACGAGACGCGACACGCGCATCCCGTCCCCCTCCAAGTCGAGTCAAACGTCTTCCCTCAGCGCCCACCATCCGTGCTTGCAATAGCAAATCTGAGCGATTGAGGAACCCGACATTTCAGCACATGAACAATGGGGTCTAATGAAGGCTCAGCTAAGCAGAATGCTGCCACGGCGCGCCACGAGGAGCACCAGTACCTTGACCTCGTCCGGAATATCCTCGACAACGGCGAGCACCGCCCAGACAGGTCAGACTTGAGGATTCGCAGAAGGCAACTGTAAACTGACTGAACACAGGACCGGCACCGGCACCTACTCCATATTCGCGCCGACACCGCTCAAGTTCAGCCTCAACCAGAATGGCGAGCCCCTCCTTCCCCTGCTGACGACGAAGCGCGTCTTCCTTCGCGCCGTCGTCGCCGAGCTTCTGTGGTTCGTACAGGGCAGCACGTCATCCATACCGCTAAGCGAGGCGGGCATCAAGATCTGGGACGGCAACGGCTCGCGCGAGTTCCTCGACAGCGTAGGACTCTCACACCGCGAGGTAGGCGACCTCGGTCCCGTATACGGCTTCCAATGGCGGCACTTCGGTGCCGAGTACGTTGATGCGAAGACGGACTACACGGGACAAGGCGTCGACCAGCTGGCAGAGATTGTGCACAAGCTCAAGACCAATCCGTACGACCGGCGCATCATCCTCAGCGCATGGAACCCGGCGCACCTGAAGAAGATGGCGCTGCCGCCCTGCCACATGTTTGCTCAGTTTTACGTCTCCTACCCGCGGGCCAAAAGAGGCAATGCTGCGGTCGCGGACGCCGAGGAGAAGCCCAAGGGCCACCTGCACTGCCAGCTCTACCAACGGTCATGTGACATGGGTCTCGGCGTGCCGTTCAACATTGCGAGCTACGCGCTGCTGACGCACATGATTGCGCGTGCATGCGATCTGGTCCCTGGGAGCCTGACGCATGTCATGGGCGATGCGCACGTCTACCTCGACCACGTCGATGCGCTGGAGACACAGCTCGAGCGGGAGCCCAGAGCTTTCCCGCTGCTCGAGATGACGCGCGAGGCAGGCTGTGACATTGACGGCTGGAAGGCAGAGGACTTTGTGGTCAAGGGGTATGACCCTCACAAGACGATTGCCATGAAGATGTCGGTGTAGATGACAAGGAACGGGATACACGGATTGAGGGTTCGGTTAGAGTGTTTGATCATGAGAAGGCGTTCTTGGGTGGGGTAGTGACAAGCCAAGGCGGACACTTTGGTTCATGGCAATGCAATGATTATTTCTCCAGTACATAAGCACGTAGAGGATGGCCAGTCTGCATGCCGATCGAGTAATGGAGGCGACAACCCCCTTAACATGGCTCTTGCCACGATGCAACGAGGGTGGTGGGAAAATCAATTGTGCGATTGAAACATGCATGAGACGCGAAAGCTTATGCAGTCAAATCACAGAAACCAGGTCGGGTAGCGCAATATCCACACAGTCGAAGTACAGTGCATCTGTGCTGATCCCACTGCCTCCTGCCCGCAGTACGCCCGCGCCTCGCTTGGGGCAGGTGCGTGCCTGCCCTCCGTTCTTCTCTTCCTCACTACACCATCTCCTTAACTGCAAATCCGCTCTCCACCACACATCGCACCTAACCTCTGACTCGGAACGGTTACAACGATCCCTCTTCAATTCAATCGCGCCTTTCGCCCATCTCCATCCCGTCGCGCATCCATCGCTGTGTGTCTGAACCAAGTCGCCTCTTCATGGCTGACCAGCCCATGGCGTCCGCCCCGGACGCCCACGACGTCAATGCAGGACCTATCGTCCACGACACCCACGATGGCCTTGAGCATGATCATGATCACGACCACGACCACGACCACGGCCACGGCCACGAACACGAACACGATCACGATCACGAAACCCACGAAGCCCACGACGTGCATGATGTTCACCAAGTCGCAGACACGTCCATCGCCTCCACCGCCGGCGGCACACCCGCCAAAGAGCGCCATTCCCTGACCCTCGACCAGCGACGCGCCCTCCGACGCTGGGCTAATGCGCAGACGAATCGACCCAGCCACAAGACGTGCATCGAGTGGTTCTATGCGCAGTATGGCCAGCACATTTCTCAGTCAACTGTTTCGCACTCTCTGTCGCCTAAATACTCACGCCTCGACGGCGACAACCCCCAGCTCTCCGGTTCGCGCCTGCGCTTTGGCAACTGGCCTGACGTTGAGAAGCTTGTCCTCCTCTGGTACCAACAGGTCCAGGCGTCTGGTCGCCAGCCTACCAACGAGGAGCTCGGCGAGAAGGCCAAGTCTATCTTCGCTCAGCTGCCGCGCTACAAGGACGAGCAGCCGCCCGAGTTCTCCCCCGGCTGGATTCACCGCTTCAAGAAGCGCTACGGACTCCTCGTGCGCCGCCAGCGCCGCCATGGCGACGGCTCCCTGAGCCCTGCCGAAGACATCAACTACCTGGCCGACTGCGTGCCCCGCTTCCTGGCCATTTCGGCCGACACGTCTCCAGCGGCCATCAAGGAGTCTGTCCTGCGCGTCGTCGGTGTCGAGGCGACGCTCCAAGTGTGCGCCCTCGTGCGCGACGAAATCCTCCGTCGTGCGCAGAACCCCAATGCCGGCCTGCCCTCCGGCACCGCCTCGCCCCAACTCGCCCTCCCACCCGCTCCCCACCCACACAACACGCACCCCACCGACCCGAACCTGGTGCCTGCCCCCACGGGCAACGGTGCCGACACGACCATGTACGGCACAGGCGACGAAGACCCAGAGGTCGTCCTCCAAAACGCGCTGCGCCAGCTGCAGCAAGAGGAGGCCGATGCCGAGGCCAGCGCCGCCGTCGCCCGCGAAGAGCGCGAGCAGCGCGAACGCGCCCAAGGTACGGCGGCCGCGGCCCTCGCGACGCCGGCGATGCACCGCGTATCCGCTGGCCCCGGCGGCGGCGGCGGCAGCAACAGCACAGCCGGAGGCGCCGCCCGATACACCCCCGTACCGGGAAGTGGCCCCCCACTGCATGGACCCCATGGCGAGGACCTCACGCTAACCCCCATAAAGTCGGATGAGCCAGTCTCCAGCCACGACCGCCCGGTGCGTTGCCCGTTCTGCGTTAATCAGCGCATGCTGCGAACCATCAAGGAGGCAGTGGAACACCTGTCGACACACGTCATTGTTTAGTTCAGATCCCTTGTCAAACCAGGTTTTTTTTTTGGCCCTTCGTTTCAGGGAGGCGGGGGGAAAGTTTAAAAAGTCTATGAAGGTGGGTGCCATTGAAGAACAAAGACTGTCTACCTATTGTATCAGGCCGGCGTATGAAGCAACCTCAGGGTTATACGGGGTGGTAATGGCTAGGCAGAGGGCAGGTGGGCGGGCGTACGGTATAATGGCGCATGGGAGGCAAGGCGGGATCAGGAAGGCATCGACGGGTCGGGATGAAAGCTCTCTTGCGTCGGTTGGAAGAAAGCAAGAGAGACGGCGTGCATGAAATGGGGCCTTTGTATGACGACTATGCGGATGCGCCTGCAGGCCTATATCCAAGCAGTCTGCTAGTGCCTTGAACATTTGACTGCGGACATATTTGCGCCTGCTGTACCGTGTCACTTGAAGTGTGAGGCTCTTCCTC